ATGCTTGTGCCTCCTTTCTACAACCACAATGATGCCAGTTTCATGGTCCCACAAAGGACGTGGAGAGGACGCCGTCCAGTGTGAAGTTTTTTTAACAAACTAGGTATAGTACTGCAAAATATTTTCTAGATTAAAACTGATATGTGACCCAACTGTCATTTCATAGATGCTATCCGCTTTGGGTGAAAAGATACGTTGTAAGTATGACAAAGTAGTTGATACAACGGCGGATTTCGCGATGAGGATACTTAAGTTCTATTTCAAATGATAGAAACACAGATAAGACAAAAAGTTCTATTTTAAAATGATAGAAAAACAGATAACACAAAGGAGAGTCAGTGTGTGAGAGCGAACGCATGATCATTTTCGCATGTATGTTGCACGGCATTTATTATGTGGAAAGAAAGAAAGTTTCTTGAGCGACTGTAAATTACCGTTTAAAACGTATAAAGGTTTCCGAAACGCAACTTACGGTCTTTTTAATGGGGTAATTTTCCATTGGAGGTTGCCTTTGCTTCATATTCAGCGTAAGATAAGAGATTTGAAGGATGGCACATACAAATGAGTTTGTTTCTTCGGAGGAGGTGACCGTGACTGACCCTTCAGTGTGTAGGTAAATTGTAAACTGTAGCACGTGTGCTTCGTGCCAGGAATTAATTACCATCCCAAATCGAAGCACTTCTCTAGTTGTTTTGATGGTCTAAAAATAGAAGAGAAAAACATCTAGTGAAGATACGCTCTCTCTGATTGTCAAATTTAAATCAGAAAGTGCTTCTGCATCGTGGAATTCTTTGATTTCGTTTGATGTCACAATACATTGTAACCGACATTGCAGCATAAGGACATATTTTATTTTGACACTGTATGGCTGATTTATACCTGTGCAGGACAATTCCAAAACTTGATAACAGTAAGCACTAGGGGCATAGTGACTTTTGATGGCCCCTTTATGCGTTATTTATTCTTATAAACTAAGGTTTGACATATGCGAAAGTGAAATCTTTAGCGAAAAAATGCTCCGCCCAAATAATACTCCGCTGGAATGTCTTGAGGGCAAAAAGCGCGAAGAATGGCCTTGTAAGATAAGAAAGGGCTTTATGTTTACTTGCTGTATCTCTCTCTGTCTCATTTGCCTATCTTTGAAAAAGCACGGTGACTTTAAGTCTAGGTCATGCACTATCTGATGTAGAAATATAGTTATTATTTTGTTTGGGTCATGTTTAAGATTGTTGATTTGAAACAGTTATTTTTTTCTAGAAAAAAAAACAGAAATCTGATGACAGATAGAATAAAGGTTTTGATTTTTTTTTCCTCACCTTAATAATACCAAAATTTACCTGTCACTTTTTAAATGATAGTTTGCTTTGCCTAGTTGTTTAAGAAACAATTCGGGTAAGTTGAATGACTTTAAACCTTCCAACGGACTTACATCCGAGTCCTAATATGTTATTAAAGGCGTATCACGATGATTTTAAAGCACAGATTGCTTTTTCAATTGTAATCGTTAACGCACCTGGCGGTATCTGACTCTATTGACAATAGCATTTACTCCTGCACCGATCTACACAATACTAGATACAGAGTCCGTCAAACCAGTTTCTGGCTGTGAATGCAACGTTATCACCGCAGTTAAAGACGACAGTGCATCATATTTTTTACCCGCACTGTAGGTCATCGTAAAGGTGTCATTTGGAAGGCAATGTCTTCTGACTTGCCTGAGGATAGGTGGTACCTTAACACACCCCTCAACTCTATGCATTTCTAATCTCAATGACAAAGACGAGTGGATTTTCCTTAGGTACCCATAGCGTTTTTTAACCGTGGGTATATCATTACCCGAATTCCTCCTTAAACTAAAGAGGGCGGTACTTCAATATAACCCAGATGAGCCAATTTGGCTAGGACACACGTATTTGAAGGCTGATGGTACTTTAATGCTGTGACACCGCGTACAGAAGGAAAGTGAGAGGGAAAATAGACATCATTAAGCCAAACAATGCAAGGCCATCACAGGTACAGCTCTATAAATATCTAAGGTTAAAGTCATTGTTTTGGTCTTATTTGAAAACCGTGGGAAGTTAAGAGCACCCGGCAAGGCTGCGGGGATTTCAGCGGGTGAATTTTAAGTTGTAGGGTCATGTTCCTCCCGGAAAATGTTGAAGTGTACCAGATCGGATCGCAAACGTAGGTAGAAAACGGTTGGATTTATTGCGGAATCGTACTTTTTTGGGTTTAGTCTCTATCGAAGCTATTTTTCTGCAGGGTAGGTACCGAGTGAAAGCTTTGCAGGTAAATTTTAAACGACCAAGGCATTTGGCATAAATAAATGAGATGGGGCATTTTGCTAGGTCAGAAAAATATTCCAAACGCGCACGGGCTTGTACGTTGACTTTAGATTACCCCTTAACGTTAAATTGATTGCCGTTGTAAAACCATTAGATATAAGGTGCGCCGAAAGATGTGAACAAGACATCATACGGACCGGACAAGCAATTTTTTATTGTATACATTATCGTATAAATGCTGAATTTATTTTATCCGAACTTTCTGGTATTCGGCATCTTTTTAATGGCAGCTATATTTCGGGTCAATATTCGCATTTGCCCGGATTGCTTCCAACGCGGTTCCAAACGATCTTCGTAGTCTAAAACCTAGCTATAACCTAAGGTAAAGCATGTCGAAGCTGCAAAAACTGATGTGCTTGCAATTCTGAATTTTAGTCAAATGTCGATCTGTCCAAAGCTGCTCGAGGTATCTGCTAGATGCACGATTGAAACTTGCGATGTCTAATCTGGCCTTTGGTGTATAAAGTATTTAAGTATTTTCGACTGCAATGAGTTTCAGCATTTCAACCATAGATGGTAAAACCAAACAATCGAAGACATTTTCAGATTTTTTTTTTTTTTTGAAAAACCGCTAAAATCTGAGAGTCAAAATGGCCGGCAAGTTCAGTGTTATGTATTATCAGACTGCATGGAATTTTGGCATGTCAGCCGTGACAGACAATTATTTCTGACCTCTCTATTTATCGTTCACATTGAGGTAAGCGCCATTAGCTCCGGGGTAATTGAGTCATTTACACAGGTGAAGGAAAGGCTAACATGGGGTCTTGGGTTTTCAACTAGTAGAATGTATGCATTAATTGTTTTGCAACTTCATATATAATTTAAGTTGATAATCTGTTAGTTTGAGTTCTCTTTCTCCATTCTGCGACACGTAAGGAACAGAAGTGACAGTTATATAACTATATATGCGAGGATATATGTAATTTGCTTTCAGACATATATTATAGTGACATGTGCTACAGTATATAATAGTAGTCGCAGAGAATAAATCCATTAGGACGTTAGCTACATTATCTTTACGCCCTTATTGCAAATGTATATTTGTACTGTTCTTGTAAAACCGATGCCAAGATGACATGATAATAAATCAAATCAAACCAAATCAAATCAAAATCGCAAGCGTATGGATTTATTGGCGTTATGAGGCTGTCAGTAGACTTTGGCATGTTGGAACAAATTTATCATTGCGATCACTTTTTAGTAGCGGTGAGACCACACATATACAACTCTGGACCACTTCTGGGATAAAGACGTGATATGGCATAGGGACCGTTCCCATAGGCCTATCATACTAGCTGAATCGATCTAACTCCTCAGGGATTCTCGATAAATTGCATTCAGTTTTAGCAGCTTAAATATCTGACACGCCCCCTCGTAACTTACAGTACTTGGGTAAAGTCGGGAATACTTTGTGATCCATGATTTTGACCCACTTAGGTCAGGCTAACCCTAACTATCATAACTGAATGGAATGCAGACTTTCTGTTACACGAACCCTCTGTTTCGTTACACCGGATCTATAAAAAAAATTATGGTGGAATATTGGTCTCAACTTTTTTCGCTCATTTGCCTGACCCAGTGGGCTTACAAGTAATGTTTTTAACGTGTACCTTTAATCGCAGACATAACGAGCCTATTTTTAATTTTCATCAAGGTAGCTCAAATAGTCATTTAAAATCATGTTATTCTCTCTTTAAAGATTTCCCCTTCATTGGAGCTACATCTTCCTGTATTCTGATATAGTTCCTCCTATTAAATAGAACTAAAACTTATTGTTGCCCATTTCCTAAATTAAGTGAAGAGTTATCAGAATGGGTAGCGTCCGCATGACATATTCCGTAGCTCTCGGACAGGCCGTAGCATTGTTTACCCCTAGTAACGGCTGACTCAGTAGCTATATAGCGTGTTGGGTGCAGAACGGAGAACCGAGCTGTGACAGTGATTAAGTATAAGAGTCCCCCATGCGTAGCCAGCCAGGGTTTACTTAATGTTAATGATATAAATAATTTATGGGGTTGTGCTCTAGGGGTTGAATCACTGACCAGTGGCCGTTGCGTCCCCTCACTGGTTGACCACTCCCTTAATAGTCAGTCAGCGTCTTTTGGTCAGTCACTGGGTGAGACACAGTTTGGTGGTGCCTCACACTTTGACGTGGGAGCACAGACGAGGCGGACGGGAATAGGAGAGAGAGGCGTGGCGCTTTTAGGCGTGAGAATACGTACTCTTGAGGAGGTCCAGTATAGAAAATACGCAAAGTGTGTACGGACTACGAAAAACAACAGGGCGCTCGCAAAGATAATAATATAGCTAAGCTCATGGCAAAACTCTTGAAGAAATAGAGGCTTCAACAGAAAATCGACGAGGAACGAAAGAGACTATATATTGAAAAATCTATACTGCCTTCATACGGAAATACGAACAAAACAAGTACTAGAGGTTTACCAAGTTTTATACTCTGCTTTAAATACAGGCGAAATCCCAAAACCTTGAAAACGAGCATCAAAAGGGAACTACATTGCGGAGAAGAAAAAACTCGAAAAGCAAAAAAAATCGACTCAATAACCCTACCTTGGCACGCACGAATTCGTACTCAATGATCACATCTGACGAGCGTCGAGATATATTTTCTATATACTTTGATTCCATTGATTCTAGGATGTCGTACCCTGCCTATGGATATGAGTGGAGGTCGGGCAGCCGAGGGGGTGGCTACGATTCCTGGGATAAAAAACACTACGGCACAGACCCCAGGGATATACACATGAATACGTTAGGAAAGGGTTCAGATTCGCATTTAGTGCAGGTGAGTTGATTTGGAGCTTTTTGAGTTTATTTATTTATTTATTTATTTATTTATTTATTTATTTATTAATTTATATTTATTTATTATTATTGTTATTTATTTATTTATTTATTTATTTATTATTATTATTATTATTATTATTATTATTATTATTATTTATTTTGAGAACTTTGGCTGTTCTGTAGGCCTATTCAATAGTTTCCATCACCATTAGTCTGCCCACTTCTATATCTTTATTCCACCCCCCCTCTCTCTCTCTCTCTCTCTCTCTCTCTTTGATTTTTTTTCTTTCAGAATCTTAGTAGGGGGCCTATACACAGCACATCTTAATTAGGGCCTGAAGTGAATTTGAAAACAATTTTGGCGTTAAGGACCGAATTTTCCTTAGAATGGTTTTCATAAATTATTGAAAATAATTTGATCTTAGTTTCGTTTAGTCACTTGTTTTAACGTAAGCGACAGGCAATTTCAACCCACTTTTACAGTGTGCAAATGAGTACCTTGCACTAACACTTAATTCGGCTACATACGCAAATGCGCAGATGCCTGATATTCACGGTTGCGGTTTATCGTCTGCTGCATGGTCATTACTGTGACCTAAAAAAGATGGCACTGACACCAAGATGTGCCGATAAGCATGATACTAGATTGAATCAGGCTTACTTATCAAGTTTGGAATTTCATAATTTGTTGACAAAGTCTATATTCGTTGTTTGTGTGTATTTAAATGTACCCCCCTTAACATAGTGATTAGTTTCACCAAAATTAACAAATGTCAAAGTAAACCCTATCGCAAAGAGATTATTCCAATGGCCGCATTCAGAACAGTGAACTAACAAGTCCGAGGTCAAAAATGGCCGACCCACTTGAACACTTCCCCACGGGATATGTTTTCAGTGTCGTTAGCGGATTAGACGACAAGCTTTGTAGTGGGTCGCCATATTTGACCCTCGGACTAGTTAGTCCTCTATTCTGAATGGGGCCAAAGACAGCCGGCCGTCCACTTGGACCTGTAGTTATTTCCAAAATTATCAAAATTAAATGAAGTTCAGAAGCCGTCTCTTCATAATTCTCCTGGTGTGAATGAGGCAGAGGAACAGGATATTTTCAGTCAGTCAACTGATAAAGCTCTTGTACTGGGCTGTTTTGTCTATTTAAGACATTGTGGATTGTGTGATTATGTAACGATTTGTGAATCCATATAGTACAACTTCGCTTCTTATCCACAGTGTAGTTAGACTTTTTAATCCACTGATTCCCTTTAAATTTATTCACATTTTACTTTTTAATGTAGAGCTTTGACTTTAAGGGGATCAAGGAGCCTTTTATCTACCTGCTTTTTATCTTTTTTAACTACTGAAATGATAATTATAGGCCTATAATTTTTTAAATCACGTTATGTTAAAAAAAAAAAAAAATTTCTTTCAATTCTACTCTTGAGACAGGGAGTTTACTTGTTGTTATTATTATTATTATTATTATTATTATTATTATTATTATTATTATTATTATTATTATCAGATGCAGCCCAGTGAAATCTTTACTGAGGTGCGGCCATCTTGGAGCTGGTGTTCCATGGGCTGGGCCGTATTCGTCACCCTCTGCTGTTGGCCTTTCAACCTCCTCGGCGCCTGCGGCGTCCTCTGCTCCATGCTCAGTTATACCGACCACAAGAGCCAAGACTACGAGCGCTCTCGGTACAAGAGGCGCTGCGCGTGGGGCTGCACCATAGCGGGGCTTATCTTGGGATTTATCGTCATCACCCTAGCGGTCGTCCTAGTCTTTGTTGTATATCCAACCCTCATACCTGGACTAAAGGATTCAGAAGCCTACAAAAACTGGGACATCAGGCCTTAGTTTATATATACTAGTGATTATATATTATATTTTATATAACTATCGGTCATGGACTTTCCATTTGTCTTTTTCGCTTCAGTTGGTAAATTTATTGCAAAACACGAGGATACCTAGATGCAGAAAAAACACTGAATAGAAGCTGAAGTTTATGGTCAGAGAGCGGAGGAAACACCTGCCATAGAATTCATTGTCTTCACGGAGATCTCATCTTACCAATGCAAAAATTATTCAAGATGGCATCATGGAGTGACTAACAGAGCGCAACGTGTGTAATGTGTGTATAAACTTTTGGACTGTGTGCCTTTCCGCAAAAAATCTTATATAGACGGACGACAGGAGGAGCTCATATACGTCAAAAGGAATATCTAGATAATTGTTTCCTATTTTAGTCATACCTCGTGTTCGTGGAGGGGAATGTAATGGTCAGGTCTTTAATCGATATGGACTTTCGTTTTACTTCGGATTACTTGGGATCCACTTTCGTTTTCATTAAAGACAAGGCAATTACAACTGTATTGAAGCTTATGTAAAGTACAAGCTCAAGGAACTCTTCGAAACATTCCTATGCTTAAGTTGACTGACAAGTTTTTTTAGAAACATTATTCGCGACAAAAGTGTAAGTCGCAGAAACTGGTTTAGACCTGACACCGGAGTTTTTGTAGCTACTGAATGATCATTTACCAGATTTTTATTTACTCTATCTTCCTGAACAAACATTGAAAAATGCAAATTTTCCCATGCGCAGATTTTGCTACTGTCACACCCAATTTCTTAGAGCACTTTTACAATCGACAAACACAACTAGTCAGAAACGTTGTACTGGCTGAACAGATTTGTATGAAAAAGAAGAACCACCCTGGGATGCGTTACCCGTTTTAATGCGTGGGGCTTTCTTAAAATTGCACTGAAGTCGCACAGGCATATGTATATTAATAGAATTTATCTTTGTGACGTCAGTGTCTGTGACGTCAATGCCAGTTCATTGTGACGTCACAAAATGATGGCTTCCATTGTCCATTGTTATATTAATGTAGATCTTTATGACTAATATGTTGTACATATTTCAACAAAATAAAACTTTAACTGCCTTATCGACAATGGTTCCTTTTCGGGAGACATCGTTTTGTAGAATGTGAAAACTCGACAATTTGAACCCTGATGTAGTATCTTTAGCTGTTATAATCTCTCTAGCTCATATTTTACTATGAAAGTCTGACTGACATTGAGTCGGGCGTCTCACACAGTTAGCCAAAGTAGAAAGTTTGCTAAGTGCTTTTAATATTAATGCATACAATTGATATTTTTTAATAAAATCAAATATACGGGAATAATAAAATACACTTGCGTTTTATTCTGATTTTAATGTTCTGGAAAAACCGTCGTATAAGGACAGGATCAAGTCTGTCGATGAAATCAGTATTTTACATGAGTAGTAATGATTTAACAATGAATCAAAGCTGACAGCATCATTAATATTATTACTAGTATTACTATTTTTAAACTTCGTTTTTATCTTAAAAAATCTCAGCGTTGTCAACAGCAAGCTATGGTTAAAAACAAGGGCGTACGGCGTACTTGGAGGTTCTCTCTCAACAAAGAAAAAGAGACGTTACAAGATGACCATTACCGTACCAAAAGGTCTCCATATGGAACAGACCTTGACTTAAAGCGTTACAAAAGATGCATATCTTTTTTTTTCTTTTTTGCATATCTTAATGGCATCTTTTTAGGGTCATGAGACTGAAAGCCTAGTTACCGCTACAAGCATATATTGATAGTCGCATACATACATTCTGAAGGGGTCAGTTTGCAGAATAATCGTTTGACAAGGAGCATTTGAGCGCATTTAAAACCGCGGACTAACAGCTCGGCGGAGCAAATATGGCGACCCACTATAAAGCTTGCCTCTTATTCCCCAATAGACACCGAATGGATCCCCCGCAGGTTTTACGCAACAAGCATTCAAGTGGGTCGGCCATATTTGACCCGTGGACCTGTTAGTCCTCTGTTATGAATGCGCTCTTTGCTGCCCGATGTCATTTGAGGCATATTTATGATGATAGGTAACTTAATGATGTCACTGACCCAGATGACCGATAAGTGGGCAAAAAGACGTTCACATTAAGACCAGCAGAACATTGAGGTCACGTTCACACTCTGGTCTGTCAGATAGAGATTGCTTCGATCCATATTGCGTACAAAGAAATTGTTTAGGTGAAAAACTGAAAAAAAAACATCATACCTTTCAAAGTTGAAAAATGTCTGAACGCAATAACCGTAATTTGAAGTACTTATGAGTCAAGGTATTTTATGAACGGGGACTAGTACCCCGTTAGTACGTCATATAAGCTGAAACGATTTGGATCAATCTACAGAGATGTGAACACGGCCTAAGAGTACCGATACTGGACAAGGAAATCTGCTAAAAAGAAAATTTACTGATTGTTTGGGACATAAATCTCGTGACAGTATACCATATTACATTAAGAACTCGCCCACATAGTTTATCATGTCAGTATTTTATCTGTGTCCCAGTCAAAAGCTTTTTTTTTTTTAATTTTATGTGAACGACCTCCTTCAACGGGTAACTGGAAAAGCAGCATTCGGGACACTTCGGTTAATTCCGTAAACTTGAGACACGAGTTCAGCCGAGGTGCTTCAAATGGCAAGGACAAGCACACTCCTAGACTTTTGAACATTTGTCTAAACCACCGTCTTGACTGTATTATTCAGATAACACGATTCACATTCATTCTTCTCTAAAAATTGAAATGAAAATTGCTTTTTAATAGGAAAAAGACAGAAATAAAACTAATGCAATTTACGTGCATCGAAACAATAATACGGTTTAACGTAGATCTGATTTATTTTAATGAATAGAAAAAACCTGGCGTTTTTTACGATCCTTATTATTTCAACACATTCTTCTGGCACATGTAACAATAACTATGCGATAAAAAGTAAATCCTGACACTTCCATTGATTAAACAATTTTTAAGGAAGTAAAAGTACGATGTGTACTACGTGCCATTCAAGTCATCATATCTAACGTATTCAAATAACATGAATGAATAATAAATATTATTAAAAAATAAACAAAAAGAAATCTGCATTAAGGCTACACATACTAGACGATATTGAATTGCATTCTTGCCTGAAAGAATTGTAATTAATATGAAAACGTACAGATACAGCCATAAATGAGCTAATACTAGTAACGGTATATAGACAATCTAGGATATCTACTAACTGATAGCGATAAGGCAAGCAAAACCTTTTTTCATGAAGGGTTTCGCTTAAATATTCAACATCTTTATCTTTAAACTGTTCCCTGCTTAGTGTATATTATCATATAATATCAATAACATATATTTATAATCATTTCCGTCGTAAAATAATGGAAAAGAATTACATGTATATTCATATATTATGCCAATGTTACATTGTTCCAGTTTGCGATCTACCATAACTGAATTCTATAAATTACTTCTTATGAGAAAAATAAATGTAACTTAGTTGAGAAAACAGTAACAATAATACAGTTGTAAAATTGAAAGCATCGGGGCTTATCCGATCCAAGAACGTATCCAAAAACGTCTGTATTGGGGTTAAAGATTGCCACAGCCTTCTCCTGCCTTTCGCGTAATTGTACATAATAAATTATTCTTATACGTCATCCGGAGGTATCTTTCAGGACACGAATGAAATAGGCCTACCATACCAAACCTCCATTTTTTTAAGACGAGATGTTATAAAATATGGAAAAAATATATGCATAAATACTCATTTTAGTAACCTGGATATTCAGAAATCATGTCTAAACAAGACCCGTTACCTCGACTATCTAAAATAAACTATATATACCAGTCTTAAATCATATATAGATAGGTACATCCCTGCTAGAACAACACGTGCTTTACGCTTTCTTTCCCTTGCCAATCGTATTTTGATCTGACGGCTTCATTTTCCGGAAAACGCTTTTATAAAATTACTTGAGAACGAAAACCAGTTGAAGCTTTTAGACTCCAGATAAGCTTAACTGTATAAAATATAAGAACTGGTCAGTATCATTAGCCATGCGTTGCTTGTTTTGAAACAGATGCAGACTTTTTGTTTTATACTTATGTCAAAGTAGGCTTAAAATTTGACTAAAGATTTAGACCAATTTCCGATCTGGAGTTTTTATGCCCCCAAAAAGTATCCTGAAAGTCGGGAAACTGTTCATTTGGAGGTGGTTGTATTCCGAAAACTGCGAATCCATGTTGGAAGATTTGCATCCACCGGAAGTCCATAAACCACTCCAAAAAACACAGCAACAAAAATGATAACAAGAAGAGCAGAAATGAGGTTTATGGCCAGTGCCCATCGATTTTTCCGCTTTAGTCCAGCATAGTCCTTCGTTTTGTGATCCACGTACGCATGGATCGAACAAAGTAGTGCTACAAATCCACATGGCGGAAGGATACACATGGTGGTGACGAGTGACCAAACTGTAGCTAGCCAGCTCCAACTGCGGTCCTCTTCTTTGCGTTCTATGTTCCGGGAATAGGTGTACTGGGAAAATGTAGGAAAAGTTGTGTTATTATTTCACTACTTTTTAATTTTGACTAGAAAGACAACACATTTTCTAACCACAGCTAGCAGTTTGGAATTCACCATTGCATTTCATTGTTAAAACCATTTAAATTTTTCTAAAAAAATATTACGTCGCTTTTAATAGTTCTGCTATCAAATAAAACTTTCCAGGAAAAAGCGTTGTTTAAAAAAAAAAAAAAAAAACTGCCAATATCAAAACTGCAGGGATGATTCTCTGCGAAAAGAAATACTACCATGAAATGAGACATCAATAATTAAACTTGGAAGATTATTTACAAATCAAAACACCAGTACACACACTTCAGATAAATACCCATTAATTAATTTAATAAAAAGGGGGGGGGGTCAGCGTTATTTCATATACATACCTGTCCCGCAGTGGACGCGCCCACAGATTCCTGAGCATCAAAGCGGTCAAAGGTCATGTCATTGGTCCTTGCCCTATAGTCGTCCCTGTCATCGTAGTCTCTGGTGGGGACGGCGGACTCCGCGGGATTGGCTCCGTACATCCTCTGAGGCCACTGGTAGGCCGGGTTAGGGGCACGGTGACCTGCGTTGTAATACGGGTCGCGGGAGTAGTGGTTCATTTTCTGTATTGGCGGCTGTGCTTGTATTCAGTCTGTTCCTCTGTGGCTGAAATAGCTAGCTGTAATGTTTAAAAAAATATAGTTCTTATTTATCCTTCTTTTATTTATTTCATGTTCACTGTTTTTTCTTTCTTTCTTTTCATCTCTACTTCGTCTTTTGTCTTCTCTTAGTTTGTTCCTTTCTAGATCTTGTGTTAACATTTTACCGTCTCTCTTCTCTAAATTATAGTTACAAGCATTGTATTGTTAAAAAGTGGTTTTTATTTATCCATCGTTTATTGATTCTTTGTCAATTGTTTTTCTTTCTTTCTTTTATCTTTCTTTCATTTTTTTGTCTACTCTTGATTTGTTTTTCCTTTCTTTAATTCTCCAAATAATTATAATTACGAACATCAAATGCGCTCTATCAATTCATTTGATTTCCTCCATACACCATTACTTTTATTCTTTCTTTCTTTCTTTTGTAATCGACTCCGACCATCAACTTTCGATAATCACAGGACCATTATCTTTTGATATGAACCTTTATACGATCTACAATTTATATAAGATCATCTACAATCTACCGAGAATATAAACCTGCATAGTCTTGGACTTCATCGGCTAAAGCACGCCAGGTATGCGGAATACAAACGCAAACAGCGCGTTAGACCATTTCATTTTAAGCTCGTGTTTCATGATACGATTTCTATTCACGGTCTCTTCAGTATATGGATATACAGACCTTTGTTAGCTCTCTGTACTTTTGTATACGGCTGCAGTACCAGGTCATGACATATCCCTGTGTAACCTGGGTTGTGCTCAATACTATTTTATACAAGGTAGAAAACATTCTTGAATTGAGAGATATGATAATTGGGCTTGTTGGTGGAAAAACAACGTAAACAGAAAAAAAACATCCACCCCCTTCACATGTACACTGTACTCACATAAATGCGTGGTCATGCAAATTAACAACAAAAATAGTATCGATCCAGAGAGCTTTATTTTAATTGCGACTCAGACTGAATTGTATTTTTCAGTTAAATTTAGTCGTTTTCATATTGCCAGTCGCTCCATTAGGCGGGATCCAATGATGAGGTGGTTGAGGCTTTGAGAGGGGGGGGGGGGATCTAGTATTTATAGAACTGTTGACCTCCTAACGCCGTCATTTCATTATAACAATCATCATGTAGAAGTTACACCCTCTTTCAACCGGCGGTGACTAACCGGAGTCGCATTCACGAGCTACACAAAAATAATATCCTCAAACATAGTCTTGTGTTACATAAATAACGCGCTCAGCTTTGCACACCTGAAGACCTCTAGTTTGATTATACACAGTCAGTGGTCGTTACGTTCTAAAAATTTATCTAATCTATTTCTACACCCCGCCATTCAAGTTAATTTATAAGACTATCTTCCCCAAATTCCATCCTTACAACGCACTGGGAAGGGGGGGGGGGTTTATATCGATCCCAATGAAATCGATCTGCAATGATTCGGTTTCAGGTAACGTCTTTTCCATATGTAGAATATTATGCCTTCAGCTTGCTATAGATGTTCACAGCGCTGCCCAACCTCATGGGGACATTATCTGAGCCACTGACTCCATTATTTGGGAGCACCCATACCTTATATCAAAGGCGCCCTACTTTGCCTTATAAGATGCTTAGTGCACCGGGCGTATCTTCGCTGTGATAATATAACATAACATGGGAGTTTTCAATGTCACTGATCATCTTTGGTGTTTCACGTGAATATGTATGAAACTTACCCTGAGAAGAACGCTAAGCGCGGACTTCGCCTTCCTAGATCCCAGCCATACTGTTAAAAAGGAAGTTTTTAGGCTCAGGTGTATATAACAATTAAACTTCCCCCTCCGTCTGTAAACCCACACCTGTTTATCCGTATACCTGTATTGATCTGGAATTACACGCGAGGTCAAAGGTCAAGGTCACACCTATTATCCGATGTCGTCGGTGTAAACGAGCTGGCGGTTCCCGTAACAGATTCAGCCCTTCATTGGATACACACAGGTTACGGTTATCGTGACGTCAGTTGGTCAAAGTCAAGAGTTGGGTTTCCCTATTCGAATCATTGAGGACTAGACCCAGCATCACAGACCTCTTTACAGACCCGTAGCCCGGGGAGGGGGGAGGACCCCTATTTTGCCGGAAAAGCCCCCCCCCCCCCCCCTCTTGGTAAAATTTTATCTAGGTACACTAAGGTTTCATGGTAAAAGGTCCACCTTTTCAGAAAAAGCCCCCCCCCTCCCCTTTAAAATTGCTGGCTACGGCCCTACTTTACCATGAGAAAATAGTGCCTGGACTTGGTGTATGTCTGAAACAATGCTTTCTTTTTCCTTCCATTACTTTGACCTCCTTCCTTTGGTTATAGATTTCTTTCAAATACATATGCGGTATCCAGAAATGAACTTTAGGTGCCCCATAATAACGTCAAGATGTAACTTCAACTACAACTTCATTCGTGTTGACTTTATTTCATATTGAAAGAAACTTGTTTCTTAAAAGACTTTAAAAGATCAAGCATTCCATCTTTATCACATTAAAATAAAATATTGGACTTTTTTTTCAAAGGAACTGAGACAGACGTTTCCATAAATTCATAATTTGATTTTTGAACTAATTACTGGTTTTATAGTTGGATAGATTCCTAGAAAATCTTTTTCAGATCAAAAAATAAATACATCTAAAGTTGCCACAATATTTACCCTTGTCATGAAAAAATACATGAATATTTACCCTTGTCATGAAAAATTACATGCTTGTTCAGTCAAAATACGTTGTGCATTTTACCCACAGCTGCCAAATAAAATATGGTCTTAGTCACAAATAATATTATTACTATTATCAAAACTGACACAAATTTAATTACTTGAGGTTCAAAACAGACATTTGGAAGCTTTGATGTCTAACAAAGTATAATTCTGAATAACTTATTTTTACCTGTGGAACCGGCTTTTAGCACGACCGCGTATTTCTCGTAACATTAAAATAATTCTCAAGCCAAACCCTCGTTTCTTACACCGTTCCGGTCAATCATGAATTCATTTATACATTTAACTATATAATGAAAAGCAGTAAACTTTTATGGATTCTCACACATTTTACTGCTTTTCATTTTTGTAAATCGCCAGACCTGACATCATATGACACACGTATCACAAACTTAATCACAATCATTAAAATTAGCCTTTAAAAATCATTAAGCATCTTGTTAAGACGTCATTTACCCGATTATTTCAATAAGAGACTAATAGTGTCCGTTAATATATGATCAATATGACGACGCTTCCCCTCTCAAAGAGGGTTTTCACTAGTCAAAAGATCATAGTCACCATAACTATTATAAGTATGGCACGGGGCTGAATAATTAATTTTGTTTTGTGTCCAGTCATTTATCCTTTTTCATTACCCTTAGTTATCTTTTAGACTGCGTTCACATTCAAACATCATGCCAGCTGGATCGATCCAACTCGGCGGAGATTCTCGCTAAAGTGCATGCAGAATCAGCTTAATTGTCTGACACACCTCTCTGAATAGCTAGTTAATTGATAAGTTTATCATTCCTAGCAACTCTATTAGGCCTGTCAGACATTTATGCCATACACAGTGATTGCACTTACGGAGAATCAACCGCATAGTTGGATCGATCTAGATAATACGATGGGTTTATCTGAATGCTTTATAGTGAGATTAGTTATCCTTCTTAGGCTTCGTTCACATGCAATGTCTATTTTCTATTTTCTATTTTCTATTTTCGATATGTCTTATGATCACGGTCTGTGCACTGAATATCCCGCCGCGTAATTACTGGAAGCGCGAGCCAGTTACTTATAGTAACTTATAGTAACTGGCTCGCGCTGCCAGTAATTAAGCCGCGGGATATTCAGTGCACAGACCGTGATCATAAGACATACCGAAAATAGAAAATAGAAAATAGAAAATAGACATTGCATGTGAAGGCTCGCGCTTCCAGTAATTACGCGGCGGGATATTCAGTGCACAGACCGTGATCATAAGACATATCGAAAATAGAAAATAGAAAATAGAAAATAGACATTGCATGTGAACGAAGCCTAAGTGAGATAAGTAGAGGTATATCTGAAGACAGTGGGCTACGTGCCCCTGCCCTCTACCAGGGCGGCAGATATTATAGGCACATTTTCCACCAGCCACAGTTAGATTGACCAAATTTAGCCAGAGACATAAACTGTGAATATGTAGTGAAAAATAAATCTGTGGCTCTGGTAGACAGTAACGTTCCCCGCCGCTCCCACCCAAAATCGGCTATGGTTGATGTAAGCCCAGTCACAGAACACCACTATTGCCCAATATCAGACTCTAGAGCCTGAACTGCCTGTTTCAGGTCCACTATTGCTCTGTCTATGTCGTCCTTGGTCGTGTGTCGGCCAACACTCAAACGTAACGCGTTGGCGGCTGCGGTGGGATCCACTCCTGACGCTAGCAAAATGTGAGAGGGCCTGGAATTGAAAATTTGCATAATAATAATAATAATAATAATAATATTTGACAGATAGACAGGCAAACAATAAAAACCCTTATGTGTAAAACAATGTTGGCAAAGAAGAAGGTCAAAAGTTTTAAGATACAAATTATTCTCTGAGTCAATAATTACCGTTTACCATAGGGCTCTAATGTGTGGGTAGTAGTGGTAAATGCTTTGATTATTTTAAAGCTACTGTTATTTATGAAATTCATGTCAATCTTAAATGGAATTACTAGAATAATCATTATCATTATTGGCATAAAAATGTACACATTTCTGTATATATCTTTCTTACTTATCTTGATCGATATATAATAAAGTATTTCAAGGTATTGTTTAAATATCAATATCACTTAAAGCCTTTTTCTACCAAAGGTAACAAATTTAATGAGTACTACGGTACCTATTCTGTGCATGGCAGGCTGCCCCTACACTGGTCTGCACATATTTCAACTTGGATAGTACCTGGAACCCTAAAATATGTGCAGAGATAGCAAAGGTACCAACATGATTATGAACAAGCAATGCGCTCAGAGAGAGCAGACCTCCGCCAAGGCAGCTCAATTAATTCACATTTTTAACCGACTAATCAATCAATCAATCAACCAATCAATCAACCAATCAATCAACTGATCAAGCAACCAATCAATTAAGCAAGCAAGCAAACAATCAATCAAGCAACCAATCAATTTTAATTGATTAAAATTAATTAACCTATAGACTAAATAGAAACTCCCTCAAATATGCAAAGCCACAAAATAAATAAATAAAAACTCTAAACAAATCAAGTAAATATTTTACCATGTAATTTGGCCCCTAGAATGGACACATTGCATGTGTTTGGAAGTCTTGGCACCTTGGGATATCTCCCATTGAATTTGACTCTGTCAGGAAAGGTTGTCTGAAGTAAAATAGTGCATTAACTATTAAATATGGTGGGTCTAAAATTATTTGTGTATGTGTATGTGTGTGTGGGGGGGGCACAGGGTCACGTGTGTGTGTGTGTGTGTGCGTGAGTGTGAAAAGAAAGGTTCTTTGTGTTATATGGACAACCACATCAAAACTCTTGTTGCGTAAACTATAATCACTTATTTTTTAAGAAGACTAAAAAATAATTCAGAAATGAAATATTGCATGCCACTCATACAAGCACTAAAAAGCAATATCAAGTGCTTAAATACTATTGATATTTTACTGGGCAATCAGTGTCATTACCTCTAACTGTGTCTCCAAGTAGTTCCGTGTTTTCTCCATGTGGTCTCCATATACCTTGACATTTCTGGACACTAGTTCTGCTGCCTGTAAAGAAAATTAGTTTTTTATTCAAGATTTAACTTGTCATATTGTTTTCACCTTTACTTTATTATTACTTTTTTTTACAATCAACAACAAAACTGTGATGTGGAAATTTTATAAATGAGGAAGAAATGAGTGTCAAATAAACTTACCTACAAAACTAAATATATAAAACTATATACAGTAAACTCTGTGAAGTTTGTTCTGTCCATTTACTGTTACATATAACTCAAATCTATAATGCTTCGTCTCAAACAAAACCTATGGAGTAGCCGGGGGGGGTTCGAAAGAACTGCCCCTTTTGCTGGGAAAAGGTCCACTCTGGGTAAAATTCGATCTAGGTACATGAAGTTTTTATGGGAAAAGGTCCACTTTTTCAGAAAACGAACCCCCCTATTGAAATTGCTGCCTACGGGCCTGTATATTATACATTGGCTAATAAGTAAACTCAAATATTTGCATAAATTGTAAAAACTTTCCAGTCCCAAAGTGTCACTGCATATAAAACATCTTACCTTCCCCAACCCAGCGATCATAGGGGTATTTTCTGTCCTGAAATAAATAAACCTGGCATCATTTACTGACATGTCCGAATTCATATAAAACTATTAAAATATTCTACACGGTCTCTTTTTTTTTTTATTTGCAGAAACTTGTAGTTGCACCACCAACTAATGTTCTCCCCCAAATGTTTGGACAAATCAAAATTTACAAAATAACTACTGTAGTTATATTCAGCTGTCAAACTCCTCAAATATAGTCACAGTGATAGAGATATGTATACCACACAATCGAACAGGAAGCTTAGACGCTGACTGCATGATCACTAATTTGTTGCCACAGAGTTTTACTTACCCAGGTCTGTAGTTTCTTTCTTGTCCCCCTCCATAGAACATAGGATACAGAGGAGCTGTCCCTGCCCTGCCTGGGAAATACAGAGCTCCAATACGGGGGCCATAGAACTGTGTGAAAACCAAATCAAATATATTGATATAAGATTACCATTCAACATAAAAATATGATTGTCAAATTTTTCATTAAATTTAAGTTAGTAATACATTTACAGTGCTCTCATGAACAATTTTCAAATTAGTATTGTTTCAATATACCAATTTTATGACTACTGATACAAAATGACAATTTTTTTCAATCCCATGGCACACACAAACACCTACAAATTTTCTCTAAATCAACTTTCAGAAACATATCATAGATTTAAATGATTCATGGCTGAAAAAAATCTTTTCTGAAAATCATTTCATGTTTTTTAAAATATAATACAATAAATCTTAGCAAAGAACAAATATCAAGATGTCCACAGGGTAGACATTACCTTATGGCCCACAATGGTCAAGTAGTCCACTCTCAAGTCCTGGACACTGACCGGTATTTTGCCCAAGGCCTGGGCGGCGTCAGTATGGAGGAAGATACGAGAAGTCTCGCCATCACCTCTTTTTATTGTCCTCAATCTTTCTGATATCTCAGCGATTGGCTGAAAGGCAATCAATATACAAAAAGTGCCTATGAGGTGTCTGAAATGTAATGGAACTGTATCATAAACAATTAACCTTTATTCCAAATCACTAGCTGCAAGTTTCCCCCTAGCTGTAAGTTTTCCCCCAATCTGTGTGAGTCCACTGCATTTTTTCACCCTTCCAGCAACAAAAAGAAGTATGTAAGAGTTCTTCCTTAACAGACATAAATCAAACGCTAAAAAAAATGTCTAGTAGTGCTCATATGTAAAAATCCTTTCATTTTTTTATTTCATAAAAAAGTGATTCATTAACTAATACACAAAGTTATTTATTTATTTATTTATTTATTGTCCTATTTATCAATTCACACAATGATTATGTTCTCACTTTATTTATTTATTTATTTATTTATTTATCCTGAAGATCATCCACCTGTATTATCCCTGTCTCATTATTAGCTAACATCACAGAGACAAGTACTGTGTTTGGCTTGATGGCAGCTATCACATCTTCTGGCACAATCTGTCCTGTGTCTTTACTTACTGGTACAAATGTCACCTCTGAAAATGATAAAAGTTTTTATAGACACCCCGAGCAATTCTTTCTGTAGATTGTTAAGTTCTTCAAAGAAAGCACAAGTATCATTGAATCGAACATAATAATAATAATAATAATAATAATAATAATAATAACTTGGTAGTGCGCATATCATCAGAAAGACGCTATCCATCTCATGAACACTAAAATCGCCTCAGAGTCATGGTATGACTCGGGCATCTTAGTAATTATCAAAGGTCACAAGAATCATCACATAATAATAATAATAATAATAATAATAATAATAATAATAATAACTAGACTGCAACTGGCTTAAGCCAGTGGCAGAGGATTCCCCTGCAAAATAGGTGTGGAAACGCTCTTACAAGGTCATGTGAAGGTCATGGGTTAAATTTGACCCCATATTCTGAAAGAGCATGTGCGAATTGGGGGGGGGGGGTGCAACAAAACATCACTTTTAGGCCACTTCAACATTTCTCCATGAAATAGCCGAATGACCTTGAAAATGAGGGTCAAGGTCAAATTTGACATTTGATTTGGGGGTGTTGGGTATATGTTTGGGGTAGTTTACTATAGCATGTTATCACAAAAAATCAATATTTCATGGAGAAATTGACAAAGTCACTATTTCTGTGAAATTATTAATATTTAAAAATCTATATTAAAAAAACTATTCAGTCAATTGTCAATATTATTAGATACTGCACTGGATAGATATCTAGGGCAACTTTTTACATCATCCTTGTGGCTCTGTGACATCTGGTTTACCCCCTGCCGAGTGTCAACCTCCTGGAGCATATTTTGCAATAGGTTGACCTTGACCTGACCTACTTTCCTAAAATTAGGTCACTTGATATAGAATTATTGTGTGACCTCACCTGTGAAAGGATTTGTCAAAATGTTGAAAATTCTAGGAGATATTGCATTTTGAAATTTGCCAAATTTTCACTTTAAAAGGCTCTGTGACCTTGAAAATTACGTCAAGGTAAAAAAAATTGGGTGGACCGGAATAACTTTTCATAGGCTATCAGTATGAATTTTTTCAGAATTTTAGAAAGAAATTTTTTGACGAAAAATAATAATAATAATAATAAGAAGAAGAATACCAAAAACAATAGTATTCCCCTATGGGGAATCCTAATAACTTACCTGCTTTCCTCAATGTCTGATACTCCTGTAAAACTATTTTAATGGAGTCATGTTCTATATTGGAAGTAATAAAGTGAGGTATGTTTTTGTCTGGTGGAACTGAGATGCTGTGCCCCTCTGTTTGTCTCTCCAAAGCAGTTTTATTGTATTTGAATTCAAAATGGCTGAGCATGGTATGAAAGACCATGTTGTTGGATTCGGTCCCTCCAGATGTGAACACAATGTCTGAAATAAGAAATTATGACAATTATATTAGGATTATAATTATTGTTACAGTATTGAACTTTAAATTTGAATGAGAAATCAGTTTGAATTTTTGACAAAAATTCTTTATCAAGATTCAACGAAAAAACTAAAGCCAAGGTAAGAAATGAACAAAAATAAAAGTGATTTTCATGCAATTAAAATATCTGGTTCAAAAACTAATCATTGAACATATTTAATTATTATACTTGTACCTTGAACGTTTCCACCTATCATATCAGCAACATTCTGACGAGCTTCATCGATGATCTGCTTCACACTTTTGCCTGGAAAGAAAAGAAATAAAGTAGTTTACTCCTAAAATACCTACATCTCACGGAAAACGATTTCAAAACAACACTACAGAATAATTTTTAAAAGAATGAATAAAGAGAAACATCAACCCCTAAAATTAAAACAAACAGATAAACAACCAAATAAATAAATAAACTAGAAAAGCACTCTGAGAGCGCAGACCTCCGCCAAGGCAGCAAAGTCTCTATCCATTGCCATTTCACCCCTAAATTTTTGATATTTTTGATTATTGATTATTGACTGATTATTGATCCGGAACACCACCAAAAACTAATCATCTGTTCCTTGGCCCACTTCTGACAGTTCCTGAAAATTTCATCAAAATCGGTCCATAACTTTTTGAGTTATGTTGATGACAGCCAGACAGGCAAACAAACAAACAGGGGTGAAAACATAACCTCCTTGGCAGAGGTAATAACCCATTCCCTGGTCAATCATAATGAACCCATTGGCTGGTTTACCTGAGGTGTCAGTGGCATAAGAACTGCTTGGATTTTGCCAGGCCTCTCGTAGGGTTCTGCTTATTGTTTCAACTACCTCATCCTCTAGTGGTGTGGTGGCATTGTAGTCCAGGTAGATCCTGAAACCAGTGAGCTTTAAAGTGTCATCTCTAAGGGACGATTCAGAATAGAGGATCCGAGTATCAACTGATCCAAGGACCAAATATGGCGGACTGTACATGAAAGGAAGGTCGCTTCCTCCTGTAATGGTCTCTCCAACTCTCACACACCTCCCCATGCGTCGTCCCTGCAGGGGCAGAGTAATTAAATCTTGGCTCCCTTCGACTGGATGTGTGGGGAAACTTGAGAGACCATTACAGGATAAAGCAGTCTTCCTTTCATGTACAGTCAAGACTGCATTCAAAACAGCAGACTAACTAGTCTGTGGATCAAATATGGCTGTCCCACTTGAGTACTTGTTGTGTAATCCCCACTGGGTACCTCTTCAGTGCTTGTTAGGGGAATTCAGACAGCAGACTTTTAAGTGGGTTGCCATATTTGATTAGCAGGTTAGTAAGCCTGCTGTTCTGAATAATATCTTCTTTTCTCGATGAGCATGTTAACATTACCAAATATTTAATTACATTAAAATTAAGTAGCAAATTAATAAGAGTGATGGTGCCTAATTATTCAGACTATAAAATATAACCACTACATGAGTTCTAGCGGATAGTACATGCATGCGTGCCCGCTATATCACTTATAATGATATCATGGAATATGTTCAGTTTATCAAGAAGTCTGACTAGAAAACGGTTTCGTTTTGGAAAATTCACTCACATATCCTCGACGTCATTCTGCAGCTCAGGGCCACTGATGTTGTGTTCCATTTGTTTAGACAGCCTATCCTGCCAACAGAAAAGGTGAAACATATATAGGCTACACAGGTAACCAGTTCAACGTGGAAGAATGGTCGACGCGAGTTGGAAGGTCCACCGCGCACTTGCATTGTGCATGTGACCTCAGTCAATAACAAAAGCATGCTGTTGCATCGATGTCTTCTCGGTTGAACATAAACTACAAAATAGAACTTTAGTTTTGTAGTTTTTTCAAGATTTATTGTTAATATAGACCTATAAATTGTATCGTGTTATGGAAAATACCAAGTTAAGGAGATCATGCCACTGCCTTTATGGTGGTTACTGGCATGGTTTTTTTAATTTTTGTTTTTTCTTTTATTTTTGAAATGACGATTTAAGTGAAAGTTTTATAGTTAAATCTCCTCTTCATGTTTATCTAATTTGAATAAAAGAACCTATGTTTTGTCTTTAGTCAGTTTAGTTTTTGAATTCTATTTTTACTTGTCTCATGAAAGCAACCAGTGCTGCTGGTACGTACTGTAGTAGTAGTATACTGTAGTGTTACATGTGCCCAATACAATAGTGATGGTGTTTCAAATGTCCGTCTAATTATGCATTTTGATGAATTACAGAAGTACAAATACACACAAACTCACACAAACAGTACATGCATATTTACTATAGCACTTGAAAAGAATAAAAGAAAATGTTAGAGGTGGATTAATTATTTATTTTCTCTCTTTAAAAACCACATTCATTTTAAAAGTATTATATTATCATATTGAGCCACAACAAGCTGGCCCAGAAATAATGTGTTTCAGCTAAATTAATACAAAATTTAAAAAATATATTAGATTCTTATGATGTCCCATGTTATTATTATTATTATTATTATTATTATTATTATTATTATTATTATGAACTGAGTGAAAGAAGAGTTACACTCTTGTGATAACTATAGGTGTCCTTTAAGATGGACAAACCTCTACAATCAGGCCCGTAGCCAGGGGGGGTTCGGGGGGTTCGAAAGAACCGCCCCTTTTGCTGGGAAAAGGTCCACTCTGGGTAAAATTTGACCTAGGTACATAAAGTTTTTATGGAAAAAGGTCCACTTATTCAGAAAAAGAACCCCCCTTTTGAAATTGCTGGCTACGGGCCTGACAATATTATAGTGTGCCAACCTGTCCTGTGGTGGGATGGTTGCTATGCCCTGAAGGGAATTGCATGTGGTACTCAACTACACCCTCAATCTCAGAAGCACCACTGAGCCTATCCCTCAGACGTTTTGAGGCCTCTGCTCTTTTCCAGGTGGTATTTTCCGTTATCTAAGAATGCAATAATATCAAATGTTATTATAAATAGGTGTAGGATGTTAGCCATATATATATATATATATATATATATATATATATATATATATATATATATATATATATTATTCAAAAGGGTATTTCATGATTGCTGCAAAAATCTCATCCTAATGATGACTTTACTTTTGTTTTGTGATTGGGTACACTAAGATTTAGGATTTTTAAGAGGGAAGTTTGCCTCAAGCCAGTGACAAATACTTTGACAACATAAGATAAACATTTGGAGATGACAGATATGTTTTTCACATTTTAAATTGCAATGAACAGCTTCACTGCTGAAGACAATTCTATATACAATCACTAGATGAAAAATGTTACTCTTACCTTAAATCCAGGAAAACGCACAACCTGGGAAACATATATCTGTGCTCTACAATTTTGTTTCTTGGTCTGAAACATTTTTCTTCTTTTAATGATTACATGATCTTCTTTCTGAAAAATATAAAGGATTTACCCTGTGTGTTATCAAAGGCCTTAAACTGGCATTTAATAACAGTGTATCAAATACATTTTAGACACTTTAAGTCACCAATACATTGCTTTGTTCATTTAATTTTACATTACATTTTATTATTTAAGTAATGAAAAACATTCACCATTTTCTTCTCTGTCTTCTTTTTATAGTCCTCTTTCTTCTTTTTCCCATAGTCTTTCCCAAGGTGACATACCAAAACGAGCCTCCCCAAGTGAACATAAGGGGTCCCGTCATATGGGATTTCTGGCGCAGTTAAACCCTTCTGTGCTTGCCAGTAAATCACTGGTGGCTTCTTTTTAATTGTGTTCTTCCAATCTAAACAAAGAAGTGACATTTCTCATTTAACAGTTCTTTATATACTGACAGTCAATGAAAATGCATCATTAATTTATCAAATTATATTTTAAGTTCCTTTGGAACATTAAGAAAATAACAGTTTTCCTGTGAAATATGACCCATTATTCAGTCAAGAAAGGCGACTCTCAAACATGTGCATTTGAACTCGTTTATATGGTTGGAATCGATTCTCTGTAAAAAAGTACAAAAAGTTCACTGATACGTTTTCATTGACTGTCACTATATATGTCAGTGAACATTTGGGTGCATATTTACAAACCCTTTGTGGACACGTCCCCCTTCTGCTCTAAACACAATTGTTTACACATCTTACGCACTTTATTCATGCGAAAAACAAATAAAAATTAAGATAAAACGTACATACCTTTTCCAAATGATTTGCTCTTTTGTAGAATCACAAATTTTGAAGATGTCTCTCTTTCAAAGGCCAAAATTGACGCATTGACTGAAGGTAGACTGTTCATCGCCATTGATAAAAATTCGCGAGGATTATAGCGTCATTCACTCATTGATCATGTTGACAATGAAGAGGCTCTAAACAGATTGACCAAAAAGGCAACTCCTCAACACTGTCAGAGATAAACAACAGAAGTTCTTGAGACATTCCAACAAAAAAAGAGGGATTGGAGAATCTTAGCCTTAGTGGTAGACTACTTGGCAAAAGTGCCTGAGACAGACAACGAAAAACCTTCCTTGACCATTTTGAATTACCAACAAGACACCTTTGGTCATAGGCGAGAAACATAACCCATTGGCAAAATATCAACGTTCGTCAAACACCGCATCGGTGATGGCACATGAAGAAGAAGAAGAAGAAGCGATGATATATATAATATACGATCTTCACATTAAACATCACAAGTGCAATGCATGTGCGCGGTGGACATTAGACTCGCGGTTTGGAAATTAATACCGTCGACCATTCTAGTTTTAGTTGTGGCTTTTTCCGGTCTCTTTTACAGAAGAGCTTTTACAGATTGCGTTAGGTGAGACGGGTCTCAACCTAGTTCACCTGCCGCATTATTTCTACCAGGGTCCTAGCTTTTTTGTCGCGTTCACTTCTTGGTTTCATCTCCTCAACACACAGTTACCTTTTAAGTTTCAATAGCTGCTGAAATATACTACTTAACAAGCCAAGTCAGCTAAAGACAATATGCTGAATTCATATCCTTTAATATAGGCCTACCCGCAAAGAGAATATCACAGCAAATCTTAGCTTAGGTTTAGTTGTAGGCTAAATCTAGAAGTATGGCTGATTCCTTTAGGTTACAGTCTCAATTAATATGGCTTAAGAAATTAAAGGTTAACATTAGATTTTTATCAAAGGTCTACAATTATAAATTCAAGGGTTAAATAATTATAATTTATCCAATTAAAATTACATTAATTTAAAGGGATAGCAGAATTAAAACAAATTTTACTGTATCAATTATAGACCTTATGTAAACTAATTTAAAAGGGAAGTCTTTGAAAGTTCTTAAAAGTTTTCATGTCATTTGAAGTGCTTATATCAATAGGTAAATCATTCTACATGTATAACTTTGGTGCACATATTGGTGCACATATTGCTCGTTCATTATAATATATGTTAACTTTTTTTCTCTAAAACAGAATGTTCTGAAAGTATAAACTTATAAAGCGTAACTTAACTTTACGTATAAACTATAATAGCATAGACTAAAACCCCATCCCCATACCTTTGTCGATCGAGCAGGATCCTATCTCCGAGGGGATTCTCGATGAATTAAATTGCATTCAACTTAAGCGGTTAAGATGTCTAGCACGCCTACTGTAGCTGCGAAACGATTGTTTATTACCCCTAACAGCTTCAGTAGGCGTGTCATACGTCAGAGCCGCTTAAGCTAAGTGAATTTAGCGAGAAACCCTTTGGAGATTGGTCGATCCTGCTAGATCGAGCTAGGAATGGGAATGGGGTCTTAAAGTGGAATATCCCTAATAACGCTGGCGTGGTTTCACAAAATAAGAGCGAAAGTTGGTCAAATTGAACATTGAATTTAAACGAATTAGTACAGTAAGTAGGACTAGACCAATCAGGTTTAATATTTCAAGTTTTTATATAAAAAATCACAATATCAGAGGACTTTTCCGTCTTTCAATGTGAGCAATATTTCTGTCTCAATTTTTCATGAAACTGGGCCCAGTTCTTAAACTCGTGCGGTTGAGTCACAGGACAGATTGGAGGGTTGGTGAGGGGCGTAGGGGGGGGGGGGGGTCCACGGCAATACCAGTCGACTGTAGCTTGAGTACTTAATCCCGGATTATGTACAAAATAAACTTATTATCATTAACCTCGCTATCCGGAATAAATATTGATGTCAGTGAGTAACCGATGGAATACTCAAACGTAAATGTTTGTTCAGCGAGCAAATCGCGACCGTTTTCAAATAACGGGCGCACGCGTCTTAGGTAAAGAAAACAGCGTTGCAGACACGGCGTCGGGAGGGGTGTTAGCCTTCTTTTCATACCTATAGCCTTTTACACTTAATTAGTCAGCAATTAACCCGATTCTTTCTCCCCGTCGCACGTTTGGTCTTGGACTTGGAAGTGACTAATGACAAATCAACCCCAGGGCAGTTCCTGGCTTGGCCGAAATGACGTTAAGTAATATGGGTGCTATCCCGTGATAGCTGGTGGTCAGTTCCTTAATTTGGTCACTCTCCAGCTCAGTCCGCGCGTGCTGATGGTTATCTTGACCTTAAAGGGAACGGCCATTGGCGTGTTAAAAACACGGCAACCCTTAAAGAGCGATAAGCCTTTGGGCACGTGACTCCCTAAAAAAAGGAATAAAAATCGAACCATATGAGACGGAGTTTAAAAAGAGAAAAATAAAAGAGAGAGAGAAAAAAAACACTGTATTGTGGGTAAAAGTTCTGATGTAATATGGGCAATTCTAGTTCAGTTTGTATATTAATTTCACGGCCCACTTCAAGCTCTTTAATGACTTTCCGCTTGACAAGTAGCTAAGGAACGGCGAGATTATATGTTATTACGTATTGTTAAGAGGTGTTTACCGCCGAAGGGGCATATTAGAAACTACATTACAACGCTACAGAAAATGCAACAGAAGCTTACTATTGGTGGTGAGAACCTAAAATGGAACATTGTTTGGGATACTTCTATGTACTTGCGGAGGACTGCACAGGCATATTAGAAAATATTTCATTAACATTTCCCCTTAAATATGATGATAAATAATAATATTAATATGACATCATTTCTCTGACCTGTGCTACTTATGTCAGTAGAAAATGCCTTGGGTTTTTAGTCTAAAATTTAGCCATAAAATAATTTCCAAGACAGAAAAGTTATTTTTCAAAGAGTTTTTTATCCTGTTTCTCATTTTTAACAGCATAAAAATAGAATTTAAGCAACCATGCTGTTATCTCGAAACTTAAAACATTTTATCAGAATATCAATACAATTGTCGTAATGTGTGAATTTTTAATTTGTTCATTAATGGCTGTATTAACCCTTATTTTATGTTAGATATTTATCTGATGCTTGCTTATTTGTTTGGTGGTTGGTTGAATATCTGTCTTTTTGTTTTTAACTGTACGTAAAAAGACTGGATGAAATGCACAAAGAAGAAAAAATAAAGATTATTTATATTTCAACTCTGAATCAACTGAAAATACCAGAATGCAAAGAGTTTGATACTATACTAGTGGAAGCATACTTTTTCAGGATTAGAGAAAATAATAACAGCAGGAACAGATAGATGCTCAATTATATTATTAAAACAAACTAATGGTAATTATTCCTAGCAAATTAAGAAGAATATTACATGGCAGTTAATTGACATTATATTGGTGACAAGGTGACAAGGGCTAGGTCACGCGGACAATGCGACACAAATGCATGGTGACACAGTGACAACGTGACAATGAGATGGTGATTGTCACCACACCCGTCCTGACATTTCCAGTTCATGCCACCGCACGGTCACCTGACTCCCTAGGTTGTCACCTTAGAAATATGCCGACACGCATGCTGTTTTAAAATCCAATAGTTTTACATTGTTTAGATCCTTGAGTTTTTTTTTTTTTTTTTTTTTTTAGTAGTAGTAGTAGTAGTAGTAGTAGTAGTAGTAGTAGTAGTAGTAGTAGTACTAAAAGCAGTAAAAGTAGTAGTAGAAATAATAGTAGTGGAAGTGATAGAAGTATTTCTATCTTTTGTCTTATTTAGTGGTTGGCTGTATGTCAGTCCTGTATGTACTATGACAGACGATTTGAGAATTTTATGCTCCTTACGTAACACTTTGAGTGAAACAGTTAAGGGAAAATGATTACGATCACAGGTATTACTAAGTTAACAGAGCAGTAAAGTGTGGAAAATCAGGCACTACAGATTAGGGAAAAATGTCTGTGATTTAAGGAATCAAAATACCTGATCAGTTAGGTGTGAAAAATAAAGTAAAACAGGTTAAAGAAAGAGATTGTGGTCCAAGGCATCAACAACATAGCTGTCGTGATGTCTCAGGTTTGAAAAACTCACAGATAAGTAAAGCATATTGTTGTTTGGGATCTCAGGTAATTTTTCATTTATTTATTCACTTTATTACCACCTTAGGATGAATTAAATGAATCTTATGAATGAATCTTAAATAGAATGCAACAAACGCAAGAAATTGAAATAACACTAAATATGGTAAAATAGAAATATTTAACAAAGATTAGAAAAAAAAATTAAATAGATTCAAAAGATAATTGATCAAGCTATCACATGAACAAATCAGATCACAAGCTTTTTAAACTGTTGTACACGAGTTATCATGTTAAAAGCATAGAATTCTAAGATTTTTGGTGATACATCTATCGGGCAATTTGTTCTTCATCACCAATAACTTCTATTATAATTGTGCCAACTAAGGATTGTGTCCCAGAATGTGAAAACGAAAATGATCTAAAATATTTGTCATAGTAAATATGGAACTGATGTGCAGCCTTATAAAACCCTATTTCAAACAAAACAATAAAAATAAATGTTTTGAGAGTTAATATACAGTACAATTGAAAATGTGTGCTTTATTAAACTAGACAAACTTTTTTTTTAACTAAACAGTTTTCGGTAAATTGAATATAATAATAATAATAATGATAATAATAATAATAATAATAGATAAATGAACAAATAAAATGAATTGACCCATGATGCATAAGATGACTGAGCGCTGTTTTTAACAGGCGCTTGAAAATATTCCCAAGCCTAATCTTCCCGACGTAGCCGTCATTTGTCGCACTTTCAGACCTTCTTTACACATGTCGTAACACTTTAGAGATTATTGGTACTACAATAAACGTCCATCGCAATCTGATTTGGTCCGATTGACCACCTCCAAAAAGTGGCCGCAGGGGACGCGCAACCTTTGCGTTGTTCAGATCCTTAAGAGGTCTTAGCGAGTTAAGTGTGAATATTTGGGCTCTCGACGTCTATTATAACGCCAGGACGAGACGCCGCGTCGCCGCTGGAGTTGTGATACGCTGATTAAGCTTTCAGAGAACACTAATAATAACACACAATACCGGCGTGTTCTGAAGGACGCGAGTGTTTTGGTTGTTAATTGCGAATCACAATATCCAGCTTTGAAACCGGACTTGGAGCACCTACTTTCCACCAAAGACACAGGAAGGATTTTTCACTAGATAGTAACTTCATTTCTGTGGTTATTCACTAGTTATGCATATTTCTATCCTATTTTTCGCATTTTCAACAACTACACCATCGTCCACGTGGTTAATTGAAATTTAGACTACCCTCTCCAGGATCACAAATTATTTTTTTCACTGAATGTTCACAGATATGTATCTATTTAATTCACGACCCTATTCTCTTCTGTGCACATAATTTATCCGCCGCCCTGGTGAAGGGTAACTTTAGACCATGGACCACCCAGATTTGCGTCCTTTGCGTATTATCTTGATTTCTCACAACTGAAATTAGATAAACTATTTTAAATTTTGAATAAGCCATATTTTTCGTATCGTTGATTTTTCTTGTTTAACCACTAGCTTCATGTCCATAAATATTCTATGCCATTTTTAACAAAAACACATTCCAAATTCTTTGAAGAATTTTTATTAAAATGATCCATTTTATAAATGGACAAAGTCATTTTCGACCTGCGTCAAAGAACATAAATCGATGTCGACAATGTGTAAATAGGTAACTACTCTTAACTGCAAGGATACATGCAGTGGAAATAAAGAATGAGCAAGATAACAGAATTAAAATAAACAGTCAAAGATGGATAGAAAAAACAAACTGGCATTACCCCTATTTGATTTTACTTAGAATATATCATGACACGTGACAACTATGCCTGAGAAAAGATTACCATCTTTTTTAATCGGCAGATATCCTGAGTCAGTTCCGCGTGACACTTGCCACATAATGATTGTTTACCATGTCATCATTATTACCCAATGAAATACACCGTGGCAAGCTGGGAAAGAAACGGAGCACCTGATTGGTCAGAAGCGCTGGAATTCACCTGAGGTCGACCTGCTGTCCGCTTTCTCACGCGTGATATAAGGCGCTCACCTGGAAGTCGCAAGTCAAACGCTGTGGCTTAAATCCGTCGTATATCTTAATTAAGCATCTAGACAAAACTACCAGGAGTAACTTTAACGTTCTAAATTACTATCTACCAGAGCAAGATTACCACTGCTATCATGGAGGCGGATAAAGTTTTAAACAAAAAGGTGAGTTCAACGATTTAAGTTGTATACTTTGTTTCGCACTGTTGTAAATGAGAAAGCTTTGACTCCCTCTTCCATGTGACCCATTCAGAACCAAAACAGAATTTTTAGTCTTTTATTTCGTTGACTTAAGTCGACATCTTTACATGTCAGTACTGTAATTCATAGATACATCTATTCCATAATGTTTGAACAGCTTGAATCCAGTGAAATTACGCGGATCTAAACAGGAATGCAACGATTTATTATTCGTTAATTAGTAAAAGAAAAGCAATCGAGAAAGACTGAAATGCTTACAGGCAATTTACCTTTAATATTTGAACAATCAAGCCAAGGCGACTTTATCAAAATTTTAGATCCGACACTCATCTGCTATGAGTATTCTTTCGATTTGGGGCAAACTGCACCTTGACCTTACTGATATTCAATAATACCAAAGCAAAAACAATATAATAATATTGATAATAATAATAATAATTTATTAATTATGGGGCGACTTGTAAAGTGATATTCCGTTTCCATCATATAATTAATACTGTGTAAACTTAACGACCAATTAGACGTCACCAGCGTTTAAAATAGATAAACAGGTGAAAAAGTAAGTTTTATCTGCTGGGGCATCTTGTAGTTGGTACGTTACCTCAGTGCACTTTAATTATCTTTTGACGGAATATTGTGTACGACTCGGGTGAATAAATCATGGTTGTACTACTACTTATTTGTCAGTTTGTTTGTCCTGGTAGAGAGAGATAGAGATATGACGGGCTGATACGGTCTTCCTCCTTATTAGGGCGTCGACACCTGTCAAAACCCGTGACAATCAGCGTTCTACTCCTCAACAAGGTGATTTCAGGTTTCGGGTCTTAACAAGTTAGATCTTTATCGGTTAATTATATACCAGTCGCAAGCTTATAGAAATGCCATCGTTTCTTTCAGTATTTTACTACTTTTATAATGTGGATATATCCACATTATAAATTTTGTCTGCGGTCAGTATGAAATACAGTGTTATAACACTGTATTTCATACTGACCGCAGACAAAATTTAATATTCTCCTCGTCATGTTAACATTAAAACAATCAAATACATAGCTGATGATAGTAGTCCTAACCTATCAGCGAAAGCGCTTAAATCGAGACAAACTTGAAGAAAACTACTTAAGTGTAAGAGAACGCGTAATTAAAGGTTTTAAGCCCCAATTAGACCTTGCCAGGTAGCTAGTTTTTAGTTTTGATATAGAGATAGGAGTGCCCTTCTTGTTTTAGGGGAGGAGGGTGCTTGGGGGTTAATATACATGTAGGTGCATATGGGTTGACGTAAACAATTACTTTTCATATGTTATAACACAGTTATTCCTGTATTAGCATATTTTCTAAGTCGGAGTATATACATGTATGTCATGTCACTTAAGAAGTGCACTTTGCTATAGGCCTAATGTGTAAATATATTAATTGACAGATTATAAATCAATATTTTTAGGAGAAGATTATTTAAGAAAAACTTCATCTTAATTTTCTCTTAATCAAATCTTTTCTGTTTTATTTTAGAGTCTCAAACCACTGTTAGAGAAGCGTCGTCGCGCGCGCATCAACAGTTGTCTCGAAGAGCTGAAGACCATCATCCTCGACGTCATGGAGTCAGACGACGGCTGTAAGAGCTCGAAACTCGAGAAAGCTGACATCCTAGAGCTGACCGTCAGCTACTTGAAGAAATTAAGGAAAAACCAGCAAAACAGTACGTTTCATTACATAATGTATTTCGTTGTTTTTTAGAGTAGGCCTACGTTTTACGTTTGGGAGGTAGGCCTATTAGAATGTAAAAATAATTATCAAAACATAAGTTGAGTTCCGAATTGAAAGAAAAAATAGACCACTGGAAATATTGTAATTTTAAACATTTTGGTTTGTCGTTGACTTATATAATTTGTTTTAACTTAAAAATAATCAATTATTTATTTTTAACTCAGATTTGCCCATGGTATCAAGACAAGCCAGGCCCGCGACCTCTTCACCAACCTACGCGGACGGATACAATCACTGCGCCAATGAAATCAATTATTTCGTCAGCAAACAGACTATGAAACCAGAACTCAGACTCCAGATGCTCGATCATCTCGCTAACAGATTGCAGGCGTCAACCTCTCCTGAACGTTCGTCGTCTCCTGATTCCACAAGCGAGTCCACAAGAGGTCGCATCGCCTCGCCTGCCAACTCCCCCGTGGATTTGTCTCTCGGCGCGACACCAAAAAACCATCTGCGCATCCGAAATGTAGAACTGAAAGGAGATCGCACGCTGAATATTGCAAATAAGTCAGTAAGAGATGAGCAAAAACAAACTGCGCCTCACAGTTATTTGTCAGCATCGTCCAATCAGATGAGAAGGCGCCATTTCGTTCGTGGTCATGGACGTCATTTTTCCAATTACCATGCCAACCATGGTTGTCAAGAAGAAAGTCAGATGATATGGCGACCCTGGTGATGACGTTGACTTAGTTAAACCAAATATCTGACAAAAACAAACAATTTTATTGTGGTGTATACAATAATGGGAAGTTATTGGTAAATTATCTAATTCAATGCCAACATGAAATCAATTTGACAGTGAAATTCTGCAATGACGATCTACAGTGATGTAAATGAACAAGTAAAATATTATCTTTATAGGCCTATTTATTTATTTATTTTTTATTTGTATTGAAACAGAGAAACGCTCACTTTGAACTTTTCATGTTTTGTTAAAATAAATTACAACGCCACATATAACTAACTATCCTCCTGCTGTCAAAGATTAATTTTGAAATCGACAAAAATAAATATTGAAAAAAATCACATGATACGATTTGATTAGTGTCAATTGATTGTTATACTATCTTCGGGACTATTTGCCTGTGTTAAAATGGTATTTGTCTGCGTATGTTTACGTATGCACGCGCGTCTGTCTGTGAATGTGTGCGCGTTTTTAAAAATGTCAAGCGTAAGGAAGACCTGGGCTAGTTGGACCCCGGGGAAAGTTTGTCCCTCGTCAATTCATGAAGAAGTACCTACGAGATTAAAAGAAAAAAATGATCCATTAATTTTGTAAAGTGACTACAGTGGTTAAAAAGAGTCGGTCTTTAAAAAACTTTACTTGAGCAGTGAGTCCCAGTGAAAGTTTTCTGCATCTTCTCACTTGTAATGGTAATAAAGGCTGGTGAATTTCCCTCTTGCGGGTAAAGAAATAAAATTTACGCGAAAACGAGGTAAAAGATCACAAAATTATCCACGGTTTCGGTTTATCTTGGTAACGAAAGATAATGGCTGAAATTTCCTAAAAATAATTTATTTTTATAGTTTTTTCTACTAAAAACCATTATTGGCCTTCAATGACGATTGGGAACCGTACTCCATAATTAAATATTATGCACTTTTCTTCAGCACGAGTAGAGATTTGTGTCATGAATAAGCCAGAGACATATCTGTGAAAATCTAGGGAAAAATGAATCTGTAATCTCTCTGGTAGAGGGAAATGATTGAATGCCCATGATGCTAGGGTGGGAACATGTTGGTTTAATATGGGGCTAATGTGAGGCAGGTCTTTGAAAGTTTCCGTATATCTCCTGTCCCAAGGACAGAAAGAGTAAATCACACTGTCCCCGATGTCCAGCTAGTGAGCAAAGCATCAAAAGATCCTCCGCGAGTAATACCAATGTAGATAAAATAACCTGTCATATTGTACATGTAGACACACCCCTGTGACGTAACAACAGCGCGTGACGTTGCCAAGGGTGTGAACTGGATAATAATTAAGTCACCTCTTACTCGCAGTCACGAGGAGAACAAAGATTCCGACAGCTCCCGTTTTCGGTTGGATCTTTTTATCTTTTCATCAAAAACCCCGCAAGTGACGGAAGCCAATTACTGACGATGAATATTTGATGTTATATTTTCCTCTCCTCAAGGTAATAAAAAGTCACTACAGGTGATTGTTCAGGTAAATTATTATCTATCCCGATTCTTCCTTCCTGTCCCGAGAAAGACTATTATCTTGTGACATATGAAATGTTTGATTGTCGTTTTCATACACTCGTTCAAAAAGGCTATATCTTTTAGGACTTTTTATTTATTCATCTATTTAGTTCTTATTACTAATTGATTCATAACAATTCATTTTATTTATTATTATTATTATTATTATTATTATTATTAGTATTAATTAATGCATAATAATTCATTTTTTTAATTTGTAAATTGCGACAAGGGGGGGGGCGTTTAAAAGAGAACGATTAAAAAAAGCACTGTGGGAATGAACTATAAAGAAAATGGAATTCGCTGTTTGCATGTTTCAAAAATCACTGAAAAATTGCCTTTCAAATATTTGTTGTAACAGACATTTAAGCAACAATTCTGTCAGCGACATATGGANGGCATTTGCCCATTGGTTCCTCTGGATGAAAACCTTAACGCTGCCAGATACAGAGACATTCTCCAGCAGAACCTGGAACCGTTCGCAAGAGGGATATACAGAGACAATTTTAGATTGCAACATGACAATGCAACTCAACACACAGCCCGCTTAATTGCAGACTTTATCCGACAAAACAACATTCAGCTGATGCCACAGCCAGCAATAAGCCCAGATGCAAACCCAATTGAGCACATGTGGGACGAACTTGGTCGTGCTATTCAGAGGAGAAACCCTCCCCGTGCAAATCTATATGAATTGCGAGATGCCCTTCAAGATGAATGGACCAGAATTTCTCTCCAAAGAGCTGTAACTCTAGTTCACAGTATGCCACGCCGTTTGGCGGCCATTATCCAAGCTCGGGGTGGACATACCCGCTATTGAGATTAATAATGAACTCTGAAGATGTTTCTTGGCAATTTTCCCTAATTTCATATTAATTGTCACTCACAGTAAAAATTTATGTTTAATTTTTCACTTGGTACTGTTATGTAAAATAAAGTACTTTTTTGGGGCCATGTGAAAAAAAACCTAAATAAATTAACGCTTTTTTCACACTTCCATTGGTTGTTTCTCCTTGACTTTACCAATCCTCCAGCTTCACATATTTAACAATATAAACAGTATTAATTTGGTAATATCAATAATAATGAAAGAAACAGGGCGATATGCATCCCAAAATTCCGTGTACCAACCATTTTGGGCAAGAGTGTATATTAGTGGAAGATCAGCAAGTGTAAAGCATTGACTAAAATACGAAGACATTAGGTAGACGGTTAAGTGAAAGCGGGCTAAGTTTTTTTTTTATGTGGATATGGTAAATTTTTAAATAGATAAACTTTAAAAATAATTTGAATAAAAAAATATAGCCAAAAATTGAGTGGTGTCTTTTAAAATTTCTTAAAATTGTACCCACACAGTAGGGAATATATACATTGGAATTGAATTGGAGGGATAAACATATATTAACATATATCACTAGCAAATTTGTTTGCCGAAAAAAAGATGTTACTGATCTGAATTCTGAATTCCAAGTTAGTGAATTTCTCTCTTAAGCCGGCTGTGAACGGGCAGTCACACAGAACATGTTGCATAGTTCGCGCACGTACAATTTTCATACTGTTCAGCGACATTTTATATGTTTGCATGCAGCTATGTGCAATAGCGAATGGCAAAATACCTGTAAACATTAGCTCTAAGTGACACATGCAACCTATAAATGAGAGGGAGGTAGAGTTTGATGAGTAAAAAGGTTGTAAATACAGTTACACGGAGATCATAATAAGTAACAAGACATTTTCATTGACTGAACTCATGTTTGGTAATACATCTATAACAGACAATGTATGGATGACAAATGTATACCAGACATTATGATATGTATCTTGTAGCAAATGAAAATTAGAGGATTTAATTGCAAATAAGTATTTTCATTTTAAGAGCACAATCAGCATATCAGATAATCTTCTTCACCTTTTATACCGGTGGTGAACCACGAGCTTTTAAAAAGAAAGAAAGAAAATATGTGTGAGAAGAACGTGAAATACTTACTCTCTGGGTTAAATTTGATGTTTTAAAGTAAAGGTCATTAACAACTGATCGACCATTCAACTTTCGTAAGTCAAGCAAAGAATGAAATAAGCCCAACGTGTAAAATTCCTCTTCATATTGCACGTGCACAAGCATTCACTACGTACAGCAATGTCAGGGATTAATTTCTCAGCGTGAGGAAGGTGCAACAACGTTTTTATTTATGAAATTGATCTTTGGGATTACAAAAACTCGTGCCTTTGCCCGGCGGCGATTTTAATGCCAATGCCCCGACCTTCTGTGAACGCTCTGTACAAATCTCTTTCAGAACTTAATCAGAGCGTGCACTGCTATGTGCCCCGGCTTTAACTGAGAAAACAGCCCGAGGCGAAATGCGTGTGCCTTTTGAAGACGCAACCTTTGATTAATACTAGAAATCACGACGTCTCCTGAATAAAGGATTATTCGATTTAAGAAGGAATCTAACGTCAAAGCAGTAAAATACCTAAGATTAATATAGATTTTATATGATGTTTCCCCTGATTCTTTTTCTTCGGAATTTTAACAGAAAATGTATAGATGTGGATTTGCGAGAATCACCAACCAAGGTTAACGTGCTCTTAATAAAAATAATTAAATAACATGGCAGGTTCTCTCTCTCTCTCTCTCTCTCTCTCTCTCACACACACACACAAACACACACAAACACAAACACACACACACACACACACACGCAAACACAAACATAAACCAAGATACAATGTACAAGAACGCACATTCTCACACGCGCAAACGCAGGAAGGAGAGAAGTACTAAGTATAGACGTACATATGATACCCAAAGAATGAACGTGCAACCCGAGCCGAAATATAACGTTTATCGTCTCAGCACCGCCACCAGCGGCCTGAGGACAATATAGGGTATTGCTCGTCTTCCAGATCCCTTCATCGATGTAGCGTTTCGCTGTCATTGTCAAGTGGCAGAGAGACAAGAAAACAATACACGATAACACACACTGTGGCACTGTAAGCGTCTCTCAATGTCCTAACGCCCTCGACACAGCTTTTTGTGTCTACTTTTGATGGACAGGATGACACGACGCACCGTCAAAAATCTATTCTCTTTTAAAAGAAATTTATTGTGCCTTCTTTGTCTTTTGCCATTTTTTTTCAGGTGATTTATCAAAATGACTGGGGCAACCTTACAATCTGATGGCTGAATCACATTATTAGGTAACACAAAAGTGAAGGGCTTTTTAAGGTGAACACGTGAAATTGAAAAATAAATCAATTATTTAAAAGCAATAAGACCTATATATATCATACGAGAATTTTTTTTTTACTTGTGAAGGTATTATACAATCAAAATGCTGATTCAAATTGAATGCAGTTGATAATGTTAAACACAACGTAACAAAGGTGACACTTTTTTCTTTGGACCAAACTATCCCTTTCCCTACAGGCAAGTTACTGATTAATTCTACATATTATATTTAACCCCAAGAATAGTGAGTGAAAACTTTGAATTGATGGACCAACATTTTTCATATAATGAGTGAGTCAGACCCGAAGATACAGGTAGGGGGTAAGAAAAAAAAATAGATAAAATTGACAAAAATTTATTTAAGAGAACGCTCCGCATCCTTTGAAATTGTCCGCAACTGCTGGGTACAGGTCAAGAGACTACATCAAAATGAATTATATTCTAACTTTTGAACTCTGGTCAACAATACATATAACTTTCTCCATGCGTAAAAATGTGGCAAAGGAATGAGTTTTGTTTGGTCATTTTGCCTCAGGTTCGATTGCATTCGCGTTTTGTATCTGAGCACTGACATTGTTAAAGTGACGTTGACCGAAACTGTGCTGATTTGATTCTGCTGATGTTATATAAACAGAAAGACAAATCTTTTATCAGTGGATAATAAAGAATGTGTGTGTATGTGTTTAAAAGAGAGAGATATAGTGAGAATGCTCGTGTGTGTCCTACCGGTAGATCTTGGACGAACAGCCTACACCTATACTTAGACCCCATTTCCAGAGATTAGATCGATCTATTTTAGATCGACCTAACTCCCTGGGGGTTCACGCTAAATAGCTGTCAGCCGAGCGGGCACGAAAGTTAATTACCCCCTTACAGCTTGTAGTAGGCGGGACAGACATTTAAGTCGGATTATCTGACAGTAATCTAGTGAGACTCCCCGCCGCGATAGATCGATCTAAAAGCTCTGGGAATACAGCCCTAGATACAGATCTGCTAAAGATGCTGATATTGGTGTAAAAAGTTCATTGCCTTCAAAGAAAAAAAATATAATTCATGATACAGATCTACCAAAAATGTTGATCTTAGAGTAAAAAGTTCATTGCCTTCAAATAAAAATATAGATCATGATAAAGATCTGCAAAAGATACTGATCTTGGAGTAAAAAGTTCACTGCCTTCAAATAAAGATATAATTGATGGTACAGATCTGCAAAAAATGCTGATCTTGGTGTACAAAGTTCATTGCCTTCACATAAAAATTATGTAATGAAGTTTTGCCATTTTTAGGCTTACAAGTTTAACAGATGCTCAGTGGAAACAAATAATATGCATAATATTTTTGGTGGATATAATAAAATTGAAATGATATATATAAAGTGAAAATTACAAAATTACATCAACTCAGACGGCGGNGAGAAGGGGGTGGTCTACGCTATGTGTTGAGATCAAGTTCCCCTGCCTGTTGCCCATCTATTGTTTTGTTTATTTATTTATATATTTTGTGTCCCACCAAGGTGTTTGCAGAATGTACAGATTGTTCTTAGATAAATATGGTAAAATAAACTATAACCGATTGAAAGCTTTTATTTTGGTTGGTCAGATGTTTACGCTGGTCATCAAGCCATGTGGTCAGACATTGTCGTTACTGTGAGAAGAGTTGAGGGGGGGGGGGGGGGGTTGGGGGGGGGGCACTCTGGGTAAATATGATCTTGGTAAACTAAGGTTTCACGGCAAAAGGTCCATATTTTCAGAAAAAGACCCCCCTCCCCCACCTTTTGCAATTGCTGGCTACGGGTGTGGTCAATCAACTTACAACAAACGCAAATACATATCAGATCTAGGGAAGGACAGCGTGAGTACGCGTATGTCGAGGTGTGATCTGAAAATAGGGGGGAGGGTTTACATCCGTCTGTACCCGAGTGTCAGAACACAGGTAAGCCTATCATCAAGTAATTTCATACCATTAAGTCCAAGTTTATAGCCCCTTTTGTTTACCGGCTTGGGGGATCTTATGGCAAAATTAAAGCTCCCGAGTATCCGGTATTCCTGTCACGTCCGTCACATGAACGGGGCACGCGCGGAGAAAGCGCCTTCCGTCCCTGGTCGAGCGTGAAATTAATATCAATTTAAATTTAACAACGATTGCCAACACTAGTATTCTTTTCCTTTAATTATGTAATTATCTTAAGAGGACGTGGGTGTCATGTTTGTTTTCTTTGCTAAGTTTGCTTAATTTGATCCCTTTTTTTTTCGGGTTTTCAAACTGCACGTGCGCTCGGAGGTGAGGCTTTTGCTATAGGTTTTTCAATTGCTGAATGCGGTTTCGTTGATACGGCCACCCATATCGACGTGCTCAGCCGCGCGTGTCAGTAGCAAACTATTTTGACATTGACAATAGGAATCTATTATCTATTGTCTTATTTTATTGCATTAAATAAGGTAACAATAATATAAGACATGCTGATTGGTATTAACGTGCCATGTTATGATATTCATTATCATACTTATTATTTACAGGTACATATACTACTTATCGTAGATTAGTGAGCCAGCAAATGTCAAGCCATGTGCACATTTAGTGCTCATCAAGCATTCTTCATATCCATAATATTATTATGTTATCTCTTTTATTTTTAGGCATCAAAATAAAAAAAAAACTCATGGAACTATATTTGTGTGTGTGTGTGTGTGTGTGTGTGTGAGAGAGAGAGAGATTTCTACAAGGATTAGTGTCGAGAGTAAGTACGGTAACTGTTGACATGTTTGTTTTTCGCACCGTTTACAAGTGACAGCGCAAGAATTAACTGATGAGAATTAAAAGAGATGACAAGTCTAAAATCCTGAACATATTTATCTATCTACCTATCTATTCATCCAGCTATTCTCTAACAAGTACATCAAAATTTGACGCAGTTCGCAACCCGAAGTTTCTTTCTCTCTCTCTCTCTCTCTCTCTCTCTCTCTCTCTCTCGTGGTGATTTGGTTTATTACATTTCATAACTTCATATATACATGTGCCTCAATTATTTTCAGTAAAGGATTGATATTAAAGGAGCTATTCTTTAAAATTTTGGGCTATCGCCTTCCATCTCAAGGAGAACATCTTTAAATCTTTTCTACTTTGATTTGGGCATAGTTAAAATATTATTTTCATAGCCTTGAAAGTCAATTTTAACAGTGAGACACAGACAAGTTTCTATTTTTCCTGCTGTCCCATGTGAATTTTTGTAAGGAAATCTACGCCGTGTGTCTGTTTGCTTGTGCATCCGGGCGGACGACGGTCAACTTTGAGCGCATTATAATCATCATAGCCAGTACATCAAAGTAATATTTCTCGCTCGTGGTTCAAGCACAAACGTTACACCATTGTCAACAATTGCGTTTTAGTTTGCATAAGGTATTGAGAAACCCAAACTTCGTGATATGACGCTTAACCTTCTGTACAAGAAGCAGGGCATTTTCTCAACATTCTCATGCAAGTTATACATTACAATGTGACAACAATTTAGCAATTAATCCAATAGATATGGACCCCACCTTGGTCCGGTGGGCAAACCACGTCCACTACCGGTCACCTGAGCAAAGAACGCTTGACCATTATGCAATAAGCGTTAGTCCGTGAAAAGTAGAAATTAAAGAATAACAAGCCTTATCTTGGATGGAGCGTTAAGTAACTTTGCCTTGCGTCCAGCGCGTGCCAGCCTATTGTGATACTGAATGGTCACAAAATTGATCTGCTGTGTATTTATTTCGTCGGGGTCAGTCAACCCATGGAATACAGGCTGCGTGTCTTATAATTATTCGTTTTATTTGTTGTATAATGCTCACGGCGATAGACGAATTTCTTACTAGATAAATTCTTACAGTTTGCTACTGCTGTGTTTTAAGTGAACAATTCTAACACAGTAGAGAGTGTGTGTGCGAGCGCGTGTGTGTTAGAGAGAGAGATAGAGAGAGGTACTAACTTTTCGAAATAAGAGAAGTCAGTTGCTTTTAGATTTACCCAGATTTTTTCTTTATGCTTCGAAAAAGACAGTACGATTAGAAAGTACGGTTAATGAACATAGTGGCCTAGTAATAATAGCGTTGCAACATTACTTACAAAACAACCGGCTCCTTGATATTGGCTGAAAAGATACATATATAGGTTCCACCGAGACTTGAACTCGGATCGCTGGATTCAGAGTCCAGAGTGCTAACCATTACACCATGGAACCTCCGGTGGTAAACGGGGTGAGGTCCAAGTCCTTTTTTCACACTTTGGAATCAGAGAACGACCAGAAAACATAAAAGAAACGAATTAACTAGCTTATGTAGCAATAGATATATGTCTATCGTTTGTATTATTTATTTGAATGAAGAGTGACGATTATACGACGTTCGTTAGAATAGACCAATATTAGTTTGCATGTATTGTGGAGAGGGAATTAGAAAAATAAAAAAAGTCGACCCGGACTAAAAAATCAATCAAGGTTCCACCGAGACTTGAACTCGGATCGCTGGATTCAGAGTCCAGAGTGCTAACCATTACACCATGGAACCGCTGATGCACCGATGGGAGAACCATTTTACAAGGATAATTGTTTATACACTATTTTAAGATAAATTAGGAGAATTATTATTCTATTTTATTTTATTTATTTATTATTTTTATTTTATTTTTTTTTTGCTCAACATTTTTACCTCTACATATCTCTTTAAATATCGTTTCTCATTAAAAAGAGAAATGAGATTAAAAGAAAACCCCTGATCTTTTCTGTATTGAAATGAATGGAAGTGGACAAAAGCATGTTAAATAGGTTGGAACAATAAAAAAATTACGGGCTCTCGTACCTTTCATTATATATAACAATAGCAATAACATCTTGCAGGTTGCTTTTCAATATTTATTTCAATAAATAATGTTTGTAAGACACTGATTGTTATTTTGAATATTTACGGCAAGAATGTTTTCTTTATTCGTTGTGTTTTCGCTCACATTCACAAGGAAATAAAATATCTATTTGCCAAATGGAAAATAATATGTTATATTTAATCTGAATTTTAATCATGGCAATGTAGTAATGTCCTTTGTTTATTGACGAAAACTGTATCGTCACCTGGTGAAATAGAATTTTTATTGTCTTTTGTGCGAAGTTAGTGAAACAGTGAATAAAGTCAGCTATGAGATCGATGCGATGAAATGTCAATGTATCGTCATAGTTTGTAAAAAATCACCAGGGTCTCCACATCTCTTGGCTCACCTGTTGATTTGAGTTGTTACGTTGACCGAAAAAATGGCCTCCAAAATCGTAATGGCGCCCTGGCGTTTGTGTCGGCGAGGAAGACGCAGAAGAGGAAGGAGAAGAAAGCGTGGGAGATAAACACTGATTGTCGTCGTAGATTATTGGCGAGGTCGTAATTTTTAGTTGGCGTTTGGTTTGCGCACTATTTGGTGTGAGATTGAACACGTTGCTGTAGCCCGCTCGGAGCGATAAATCTAACCCTTGGCCAACGGGAGAGTGAGGAGACGCAGAGATGGTCACTCTTGAGAACTGACCAGTAGAATCAGGGGACGCCGAGCGGGCAGGCGAGGTCGGTGGCTGCATGCTGTTGGCGAGGTGGTCAAGCATCTGAAGTCTGTGTTCTGGTTTAATTCCCTGGTGGTGAAGGTAGGCGTTAATTTCTTTGGCGCAATGTTCGTACCCGTCCGCGTAAGTAGGGGGAGATTGTGGCGTCCTTGGGGTTCTGGGAATCAAGGAAAAATCTGAAACAAGTATAAAAATCTCGGTGAGACCATTAAACACATCATTCAAACAAAAAAGCACATTTAGAATTTTCTACATCATTTCAGTCTTGTATATAAGATATTTTGCGTCTCCTAAAAATAATAGTCTTTATGAACACAAGGAGCCATTTGCTGGGTGTTTGTTAATGGAATTTTGATTAAAACTTACCTCCTTGCTTGTTTTTCCGTAGTCTCTTTAGATAACTGACAGTCAGCTCTAGGATGTCAGCTTTCTCGAGTTTCGAACTCTTACAGCCGTCGTCCGACTCCATGACGTCGAGGATGATGGTCTTCAGCTCTTCGAGACAACTGTTGATGCGCGCGCGACGACGCTTCTCTAACAGTGGTTTCAGACTCTAAAATAAAGCAGAGAAATTAATAAGTAATACAGTCAGATTTCGTTTATCAGTATTTTTTTTTTCAAAAAAAATGTGTCTGACTCAGTAGATAATTGGTAAACAGCAATCCCGAATAAGATGTGCAAAGATATCAAATAAATAATAAACTAAGATCATCTTTAAAAGTTAATGAAGCATTAAAATGCGTTTAGTTCACGTTAAACCGATCTATCAGACAAAATTTCGTTATATAAGAGCTATATATAAGTATAAGAGCTGATCATGCTGTAGAAATGAGCGAAATTAACGTTGGCATGTTACTCTAAGTCCATTTTTATTGCTGAGCTAAAAAAGGGTTGACCCAAAAATATTGCTAACTGTGCCACTGATTTATATACACACTAAAGCATTTGAAAAATGTGATGAAAGGAACCGGCGAGAAAGAGAAACCCTGATAACGGGGTACAAGCTAGGCTTCTCCGCCCCAACCGTCCTCCTTCTCTTATCTCTACTACAAAACAAAAAGTGGCTGCCAAATTACTACCTGTGCAACCATATTGATTTATACACTTACGCGTTTGTTAAAAAAGGAATTCTTTTAGTTTGGAATCTGTCACAATAAGTGTACTGTCACAGACAAGTGCATGCCTTCGAGGAGGTCTAAATAAGACGTGGACCGTCATATTAGGCGATAAATTTAGCAAAAGTTTACATGTTTTATTCACACGCCATTTTCGCAAAATTCAGTGAGGTTTGCAATGTGTGTGTGTGTGTGTGTGTGTGTGTGTTGGTAAGAGGGATATAGTAATTGGAAAGTGGTCACCATGCACATGAACATGTCAAATGACAACCCATCGAGTGTGATATACCGCCAACAACACTTTTCGAAACGTCTTAATTTAACCACTTTTACCACAAAAGTGCGCGGTGGCTAGGGGCTAGGGGCTTCGTTTATTGCACAGTAAAACTAAATTTTCAGTAAAACTGAGTAAAATCAAAACAGCTGTAGAGACCACGTTTAGAAGGAAGATACACAGAGTAAACTGGATTCCTGACTCGTCAAGGGTGATGTGAATAATTAACAAAAATTAGATTTCCACTGGGGATTTTAAAGAATAAACGATATGATGTCAAATGATTTTTTAAATTTTTTCTATGTGGAATTACGAAGGTTTCCATTCATAGTATCTGAATGTGACAATAAAAATATATAAAAAAAAAAAAAACAATTGCTTGTTAAGGGAACGAGGCCCACGCCAATGCACCTGTTGCGTTCAAAGATAGAATTTTTCCCTGTCTACACAAATGTCACAAATTGTCACCATAAACACGTACCTTTCTCGTCGGTGTTTTCTCTGACTGCATTTTCGGTGTAATCAGAAATATAATCCCTTCCTGAAATTCGGTGTTGAGTCCGTCAGACGAACTGGTAGCTACAAGGCGCTAACAGACTAGTTACTTTCTCCAGCGGTTGACCTTTTATACTGCGAGGTTAAGACGTCTTTATCGCACGTGACAAAAGGTGGTGCGTGTCGCTTTCAGGTGAATTCCGTAGCTGTTGGCCAATCAAATGAGACGAAATGATTCTCGGGTTCTTTTGACGCTTGTGATTGGCCAAGAAGAGCTGTCTGGTAATGTTACTTACCTGATAGATTTGCGTGCTAGTCTTAAATTGATCAGCCAGCTATCCTATTTACTTATATAACTTATCTTGTGACCTAAGGGTACGTGTACATTTTCACTTCTAAATAGATGGTTGTGAATTGCAAAATCGAATCTGCTAATGGCGATTTATGCAAATTAATGTTTGACAGAGAAAATAAGTTGGCGAAAATGAAACAAAAGAACAAAATTGATGAGCAAAGCCATGCTTTTACCTATTTACTATCTATTCTATTTTAATAATCCGTTGATTCAAAATCAGAGGGCATGAACATTGTTATATATTTGTTTCTTCATTTTTTTTCTTAATTTAATGTATTTTCTGGGGCTATAAACTAAGACGACCTTCAAGGTTTAAGGAAGGTTTGTATACAATTATTTGGTTTAAGCCTGCCTCAAAGTCAAATAGAAACGCCTTGCCGTAATCTTTCGCTCACGAGTTTATCAAATGTAGTCTTTTATGTAACCCGTCTCCTGTCAGTTCTTCTTTCACTGTTTAAGGCTTCTCGCTTATAAAGCAACACTATCTGACAAGCCATCTAAATTGAGATGTCGATATTTATCTGACGAAAATTACTTTTAACAGTGCAATTACAAATCTAGGGCGCTTTCCATTCGAAGTTTACAACGTTTAATTCGGACGACCATTTACGCCGATTTAATTGCTGTGATATGAAATAACTCGCTTAAAACACCCGTGTCCCTTAAAGAACGCAGGTAATGTGTGTTATTATTAGTGTTCTCTGAACGCTTAATCAGCGTATCACAACTCCAGCGGCGACGCCGCGTCTCGTCCTGGCGTTATAATAGACGTCGAGAGCCCAAATATTCACACTTAACTCGTTAAGTCCTCTTAAGGATCTGAACAACGCAAAGGGTGCGCGTCCCCTGCGGCCACTTTTTGGAGGTGGTCAATCGGACCAAATCAGATTGCGATGGACGTTTATTGTAGTGCCAATAATCCCTGTAGTGTTATGAAATGTTTAAATAAATATTGAAAGTGCGACAAATGAATATTGCTGTCATTCGCGATGTCGAGCACTAAAACATTTGTTTCCCAACGTAAAAGGTGCCCGTCCCCTGCGGTCATTTTTTAAAAATGGTCAGTCACATGAAACAGCTCTGTCATGGTCATTCTCCGAGGCTAGAAAATCAACTTTACTGGGTCGTAGTCCGAATTTATAATGTGTATGCCCCTATGCTACATAGACTATGGATTCCACTAACCACCAGGAATTGATAAATTTTAGGAATTATGAGAAATCGTGGAATTTTGCACACTTCTGGTAAAAAAATCTTGACCCTGTGGGATTCAGTTACGAATTTGTTAAGACAGACTTAAGAATATTCATGGGATTCTGTTTGAACAGCATGAATGTTGTCAAGAAGCTGTTACGATTTGCAAGAATGACTGAGAAATACTTCACGAATATTAGGATTCACACTCAAAAAAGCCAAGTAGGCCTATACGCCGAATGCACCTACGATTCTGACACGATTATAAATGTAATCTTGACTTGCATTGCATTAGAATTGCATTAGGGAGTTCGGGACCGAAACTTTGAACAGCTCAAACTTTTTGTCCTGATTTTACGATCTCTCAAGAAACAACAATTTCCCACTAATTACCAAATGGTTAATTAATCCATTCCGACATTCATATATATATATATATATATATATATATTTATATATATATATATATATATATATATATATATATATATATATATATATATATATATATATATATATATTTTTTTTTTTTTTGTAATAGCCTTTTGTATTTTGGTAATAAAAGCAAAGTAATCTATGATATTTTATCCATAGAAAGGGAACTTGTGCCCTATATTTTACTTTTTGATCGACATAATAGCGCCATAGTTTTTATAACTCCCATGTCAACTGACGGATTGTATAAGTTCTGAAAATTCATTTTGACATCTCTAAATAACAGTTAAGAAATCAAGAAACGTGTGATCGTGTGATGTTATTTTCTCACAGTTTGAAAAAAGAAAAGACGAATTAAGCCCGCGCTTTAAAGTGATTCTGCTTCTATCAATGTGTAGACGCTCAGCTTAGTAAAATGCAATATTACGGTGTTTAAATACCTATAATTATTTATGATACACACAAATACGCAATACAGTTATTAACCTGTTTGTAGTTTTTAGTCGTATTAAGTTGCCCCCCCCCAAAAAAAAAAAAAAAAAAAATGATACTCAGAGCAATGAAATATGTCATGCGATTGACAAAGAAAGTTTTAGAAATTAAAAAAAAATGAGATCAATACACTGAGTAGGCTAGGTTGACACCAATGTCGTTAATTAAAAACGTGTTTGTCAACTTAAAACAACAATTATATCCGCGACATCAGGTGACGCGACACAGGTGCAGTGACAGTCATGTGACTGTTATGGCTCTGTTTGTGTTTACGGCAGCCACAGGCTAGTGACAGTGCCAGAGGCAGCGCTCAGGGAGAAAACAACATGTTTACAACAGAGGCAGCGCTCAGGGAGACAACAACATGTTTACAACAACAGTCGACTTGTTAGCAGTTGCAGTCACGGGGTGCAGCGGACGAAAAAAAAAATGAGGGGGGAGTGGGAAAGGGGGGGTGGAGGGGCTCGTTTCCCTTATTAGAGCCGCAGATTAATTTTTGATTAAAATAGCACTTTTCTCCAACGCGACTAACATACAAATTGCTGGACGATGTAGCTTGGGTTTTAAAGGTATGCATTTGGTTGGAGGGTGATCTGATGGTTTTTTCTATTTTATTGCGATTTTTATCGCGTTTGGATCACATTGGATCGAGTATTGTTTAAGAAACTCATTCCGCGTATATATGGCGATTTTAATAATTCGAAAAATGCTTACCCGTTGTTGTTCGTTTTTCTTTCCTTTTTCATGACCGTAGACTAGTGTGGTATTCTAAGGTTATTTTCTGTGGTTTTTAATCTCAGTGACCAATCAAGATAACAGCCTAGATCGAGTGCAGCAAATTACACAATTTTCATTAAAATGTTAGAGCAATTATCTGCCTTGATTGTAGTCAGAGGGATTTGGCAGGGACTCGAAAACTGGCAGTGCCTAGCAGTATACAAACAATTACCAAACCTGTAATTATCCTGGAGATTTCAGAACAAGGTCAAGGTCAATTGATTAAAGAGTTTAAGTAATATTTTTTATCTAGTAATTTATTCAATAGGTGGTCGCCTTTTTTGAACTTTTATTGACGTGCCACAAATAAATAATATTGCAATTATTATCTGAATGAAAAAAAAAAAGAGACGACATCAATTACACACGTAATCAATTATGACTTGGACTTTGTATGGACATGTTTTACAGAAGAGACAATTTATCAACTTATTTTGTTTAATTCCAAGACTGCAAAAGGCCATTTATCTAAAGAAAGGAAGACAAATTCAATATCAATAAACATTTTATTGCACACAAACAAAAATCCTAAATTAACTTTTTAGCATACCGACGAAATTGACTTTTTTAAGTTCAAATATCCTAATTACGTAAACTACTACGCTTTGTATAAAATCATTTCAATAAATGTTCATGTGCCTTTCAATATTATTTTGCATTTAACACTACACATGTTAAATCTCAACCTTTTGGTTGTAACTTTTGGATAACTCCATAACCGTCAGTTATAATGACAGGATCGGAAAAAAAATGTTAACATTTTTCACAGGCGCATGTTTCTTAGTTGATATGATAAAAATAGGTCCTTGATTTTGCTATTCACGGGCGTGGCGTTCATGTGACCTTGTTACCACACGACTTGTTGGAACAGCCTTGAAAACATGATGCTGTCATGCAACGCTTGTTGTAACGACTGTCGAGTTTATTTGAGTCCAAACTTACTAGTAAGACGGTGCTTTAATTTCACAACGGAGTAAAAACAAATATGATCTCAGCTTATTTCCTTTTTTTTTTTTTTGCATAAGCTTCTTTTACAAACCACGAAGTCTGTTTATGTTAAATTGGTAATCAAAATTCCTAAGCCAAAAATTATGAGTACAAATGCATTTATAGTACTGTTATCAATCGATGGAATCCGATACGTCACGTTCAGATGACTATGTTAAATACGCTGTCAATTAATGATCTCAAATTCGAATGAAAAATCATTCGGTGCGGCATATTTATTAATACTAGGATGCAAAAATATTAGTTGTGGATCCTAGATAAGTATAACTAAATCCGCGTGTTCTTTTGCCGTATACATTTACCTCTTTTATGGAAAATAAGTGCATTTTCCTGACGAGAGACAGATATAACTCAACCATTAAGGGCCCCTTTACACTGGACGGCGTCCTTTCTGCGTCCAGCAGTACGGCCCCATTTGAGAGTTAAAAAATTATAATACTTTACGTGCCGACAACTGGCCGATCATTGAGCATTCATTCTGATACAAAATCAATGCTTGTGCCTCCTTATTAAGACCACAGCGATGCCAAATTTCATGGTCGCAGAAAGGACGCAGAAAGGTCGCCGTCCAGTGTAAAGGGGGTTTAACTGTGATAAAATATCCAGAAGTGACTAAAAGTGACCACAATATAATAAAGCCTTTTTGGGAAGGGCCAGGAAAGAGCAGGTTGGCTTATTTATATGTAATTACCTTACGTTTATGTCTGAAGGTGTGAAAAAGGCAAATGAAGTAAGTAATCATTCACTAATTATACGTAAAAGGCTCTAGGTATGAAAGGAAGGCTAACACCCCTCCCGACGCTGTGTCTGCAACGCTGTTTTCTTTACCTGAGACGCGCGCGCGTAATATTGATGGAGCATAACGAGTGTTATTTACATAAACAATTACCTTTGAGTATACTGCCATTTACTGATAGACAGTGACGTTAATTCCTCATCGCAAAGGAAACAACAATATTTCTATTTTGCACCTAATTCCGGATTTAATGCCTCAGCTGCAGGCGTTGCAGGGTATTGTATAGCAGCAAACATATGAAGGTAAAAACATTTATAACTTTAATTTTTATCACTACTTTTAGGATAAAAAACAACAGCTATGATGACACATTTCTTCGTCAACTTCACCTCCATCGAGCTCCAATGTAAATAATTGAAACACGTTTGGGGGCATTCCGAGATCGCAGACCCTCGCCAAGACAAAGGAAAATAATACATGTAATAAAACTAATATTTGGAAATCTTAAAAAATTATCTGGAAACCGGATTAAAAAGACCCCTCACTGTAACTCCGCCAGGTATCATATGACCAGAGACAAGAGAAAAAATTGCTATGGGGAGAGACACGCGCCATTCGACATTCACTTCATTTAAATTATATCCTTAATTGAGTCAAATCTTTCCCGGGTGCTTTTAATAGCCGATCAATTTGATAATAACGTTTTGACAAACATTTATTTTCATTTAAACTGCCTTGGAACACAAATGAAAAATAACGTCATGTGACACTGCTCAAAGGAGATATCTTGTAATAAGAAAAATGCACAAATGGCGTGTCTTTTGAGGCCTTATGTCTCGAGGTGTGTCACAAGGTCTTTCTTACGACACCAGTTGTGGTTCAGATGTCTGGGTCAAACACCGGTGAGCGAACGCAGCGTAACTCCTTAAGGCCCCGTTATCATCTATTAAGTCCCATGTAACACAAAGAAAAAAAATTCACAGGTAACCAGGAAGGAACTGCTGGTAACACTGGATGATTAGGGTGTAACTTTCTCACGTGGCTTGGCCCTATCCCGCTGTTTGCACTGTACAAAGAACGCCCGCAAGAGATCGCTGCAGTCGCTATAGGCAATCAGCCGAACATAAGTAATTTGGTTAGGTAAAATGATTCTTAAATTAAAGATTCTAAAATTTAAGATTAAAATTTTTGCCTTCTTTAACTCAAGATTAATCCAATAGAAGTAATTCAATTAGACAAAAATTGGACCTGTTTTATAACTAAAAAGAAAGTAAGTAAAAAAGAAAGAATCAAAGTTTCATATCAAAGCGTGCATCATTTAAGTGGAGTACACTGAGTTTCACTTGATCTGAGCAGATTTTTGGTTTAAAAGTTATTTTTTTAAATCCGTTCCAGGGCATTGCGTATTTCTAATGGCCTCCCGTTCCTTCAATAACTGATACAATTGGCACTTGAATTCCCCACAAAGCGTTCCCTAAGCCAATTTGCTTCATTTTCTAAATCGGGCCGAGGAAACCGAAGTGTGCGTGACAATCGCCCACAGCGATGCCGCAGTTGGACATCATTTCGAAATAGAGACGCCAAGTACCTCTTCAAAGTTTTTAACTTTCGGAGACAGAATGGAAGTTGCCCAACCAAGTAGTCAACAAATCCCTGACAGCGGTCCTTCAGCAATGACTTTTCCAATTCTATTTACCAGTTGTTTGCTGACAACGAGCTTTGTTATTCAGTATATACTTTCAGAGAGCGCCCAATACCATGAATTCCACAAATGTATATATGCTTTATTCATACTTTCTGCACCAGACTGAGCTGGTGAAAATGTACAGAGATAAAGTAATAGTAACAATAAAAATAATGATATTAATAATAATAATAAAATACATAGATGAATAGCACCAAAATTACATATATAGAAATGTACCATTATTATACATATGTATTCAGTATTTCATAATCATAAGCTAGGTGCGGTCTCAATGCCGAGTCAACTGCCCACAGCACTATCATACGCTGGCATCACACTACAAGTATTGTATACATGACTAAGATATAGACACGTGTACCGATTGCAATGATTCCAATGAAATATGAACTATATCATTATGTATTTTCCTTTAATACTTTGGGTTATGAATGTAGCTCAATTATGGTTTCATCATGTTTCCTTTTTTGTAGAAAAAGTGTGTATCACCTCCAACAAATTAATACATAGATACATAAAAGAAAAAACACATTATTATTATTATTATTATTATTTTTAATATAATTATTATTCTGCTTTTCAAAAATCAGTGAAGGTTCCGAAACACGGCAGCATTCAGGACAAAGAATCACTCTGTTGGCAAACAGATGGTTATGTATTAACAAAAGTTACAACTGAATAAGGACAGGAAAGTTCTTAAAGCCATTTACAGTCAACAACTTTTATTATGTCTGTAAAAGTTAAAAGGGTTGAAGAGGACTTAAGCGTCCTTCTTGCGAGAAAGCATCCCACGGCGGGGACACTGCGCGCATATGTCACTCGCGCTGTCGTTTCCTCGGTCCTTTTCAAATCTTGAGCGAAAATTGGATTAGTAAACGGTGGGCAGAAATTTCAAGTGCCACTTGGGCAGCTTTGCAAAGAAAAGCTGCGATTCGGAGGCTCGAAATCTCTGGGCGGGCCACTAACGACCGTATCGCGTCTTATTTCACTAATGGCTAGCACAGCGGGATCGTGCCGCGACACGTGGGAAAGAGACCGAAGGTTTCTCGAGTTTCCGAAAGTCTTGCCACTTTCCTGATTACCTGTGAATTGTTTTCTTTTGTGTCACAAGTGGCTTAAGTGTTGTCAACAGGGGTCTTGGGGTGTCAACAGCGTTCCTTCGCCAGTTAAACGAAGAGAGCTTTGGGAAGAAAAACGTGAAAAACAACAAAGCAAGTGAACCAAATTTGAAATAGGAACCTGATTTAATCAAATTACTTTTATTTTCTAATACACTGATATAATAATAATAATAATAATAATAATAATAATAATAATAATAATAATAATAATAATAATTTACCTCGCATTTTCAAAACCTTTCTTAAGATATCAAGGCAAACCATATTCAAATCCTTTGACATTCCGTTAAGTATTTACTGAAGATGACTACTAGGGTTTATCTTGAAGAGACATAATTTTTCACCTCTCTTTCTATGCAGCCAGTACAATGGGTGTGTTTCGCGGAAGATATTCAGCCGGAAGTAGGACTGAACATTGAGAACATAATTTTTTCCCACTTTCACAAATGAAAAAAAAAAAAAAAAAATCAATAGAATCAACCTAAATTATGATAAATGTCGCGACCGTTTTACAACGAGAAAGGCGCTGTCTATCTATAAAAATCAATACTGTCGTGATTTAATTAAACTTTTTATTTATTTATTTTTTTTTTTTGGGGGGGGGCAGAATTTGTCTAGAACATCGGGCTATAGTTCTTTTTGAAAAGGGCACAGGGCTCAGCGATTGCGACAGGTGAGAAGTCACAACCACAATCACCACACACCTTCGAGTTCAGTTAGTGCAAGCAAGTATAAGCTTTTAACTTAAAGAGGTAGCAAAGGGTTTAAAAAAGGTTTTCTCCAATAGTTAAATCTCTTTTTAATATAAAACAATAATTTTACCTCTTTCTTTTAGCTTTTTTTTATTTTTGCCTGTGCCATTTTGTTAACTTGACCTTTCTTTTACCCAAGACGGTAAAACAATTCAGCGTTTTATGTGTTTAAAATGGTTGAATAAACTTTATAACTAGAGGATCAGAGAGGCGATGCCGCCTCCGAATATTGTACCACCAGCTGGAGCAAGCGCATTTGAATAGACCCCCACANTTAGCATTTAATTTTGCCATTTTTGGACAAGGGTGCATTGCAATGAGTGCCACACCTAGACCCCAATACTGACAAAGCCCAAATTTTACGTGGAACGAGTTGAGATTATAGGTGACCTAAATCCAAGAGATGGGTATGGAGGCCCTTACCGTCTAGGAGGAGAAGCGGTAACGGTGACTTGGCGGCGGAGCCGCAGGAGCCGGCGGAGCTGCAGGAGCCGGCGGAGCCGCAGGAGCCGGCGGAGCCGGCGGAACATACGGGTCGGGACTAAAACCATGAGTACCGCCAGCGCCTACGCTGGTGGTACAATTATCATTATCAATCTCAATTTGCAATAATCTCAAAAAACAAACTACAGATAACAATAAAATATAGTTTGTTATTCTGTATATGAAATACAGTGAGATTTCACCTCCTGATTAATAAAAATATCTCACAAAACAGCTGCAACAAAACTGCCTTTATGCATATCTCATAGTCTTTCTGCACTGCAAGAAACTGTAATAAATTACCAGCTAAAATCCTCGCTTGAGATAACAATTAAAGATACATAAATAAACTTGTGCAATAAAATGAGATAAAGTTTTGAACAAACCAACAGTCTTAAAGTATACTTGATGGTCCCTAAAACCCATTATAACCAATTAGTTTAATGCATATAGCTGCCATTAATTTAAAAGTCAAGTTTCTTGCAATAACATACCAAGGCAGAGAATAGTTCCTCTGGAATTCTCAATACACTGGCTTACTGTCTTATTTTCTAAACCAGGAATCTTAAGTGACAAATATTTGCAATTTCCATGATTCCATGATTCTGACTGTTTCCATTAGCTTTCCATGAGGTGTTCATAAAAAAAAAAAAAAAAAAAAAAAAACGTGTGATTGTAAGAATCCTGATGTGAGCAATCTTAAACCCAGACAAATCAACACCCAATTCCTATCCCAGGAAACATTCATGCCTCTCCTTTCTTCAGTTTTCCAATCACTTCTGAGAGCATCTGGTTACACATAGCTGCATATGGGTTCATGATAACCAGCTGATGCTTGGCAAACTGACTTCCCAGGTCTGCAGCGGCCTTGAAGTCGGCCAGGGCACCCTCGTCATCTCCTGAGAGACATGGGAATAAACAAATAAATAATTAAATAAATAGAAAATAACATAAAAGTTACATAGTAACAACAAAAGTGGGCGGAGATATAAATGGTTTACAAGAGAGAGAGAGAGAGAGAGAGAGAGAGAGAGAGAGAGAGAGAGAGAGAGAGAGAGAGAGAGAATAAGTACTGCATAGTGTTCATGTTGTGGAGAGACAGAGAGAGAATAGGGGAGAGCTGGGGTAGCGCTAGCAATTTTTTTCTCTTAGTTTCTCTTAGCCAAATCACCAATTTTTTGTCAATTTGTTATCAAAATGGTTATAATTTGACTAAAAAAAGTCAAGTCAAGCCTGTTTTCTTTAGCCAATTAAGGCCAGTTTTAGCATTTGGCTAAATTGGCGAGTGTTAGCGCTACCCCAAAGAGAGGGGGAGGGGAAGGGGAGAAGATAGAAAGAGATAATGAAGGACAGCATGAGCAAGAGAGGGAAGCAGAACATGCACACATACCTTCCAACCGTCTTATGAGTCCTCTCTGTGTATAAGCTTGACAAGCAGCCTTGCCAGTCCCACTGCTGAGTTCAAGGGCCTTGTCTAAATCCTGCAGAGCACCTAATAAACAATTACATATATTGTCAGTTATGTAGAAATATAAGTCTTCTAAGCAAATTCACTCATGTGAATGACATCTAAATGGCAGACTTAGTGCTGCACGGACAAAACTATTACACCATTTTCTAGGCTTTTTTCTCATTTTTTCTTTAATCATGGTCATTTTCTGCATCATTATTACCACCCTTTGTGCCTTCCTTCAGTATTAAAACAATTGATCAATAATAATAATAATTATTATTATTATTTATACTAGTATACCACTCACCCTCAGTGTCCCCCTTCAGCCTCAGGACCTGTGCCCTGTTGTTGTAGCCAGAGGCCCAGTTAGGGGCTGTGAGCACTGCCTCATTAAACAGCTCCAAGGCCCTGGTGATATCCCCCCTCTCTGCTGCCTCTACTCCTCTGACCTCTAACTCCCTGGCTTGGTGGACTGCCTCAGTGTTACTGATCACTGGAATAACATAGGGCAAGCTATATTCAGCATAAGTTTTTGTCATATTTTACACATTGTGGTGGTGGTGGTGGTGTGTGTGTGTGTGTGTGTGTGTGTGTGTGTGTGTAAGAGAGAGAGAGAGAGAGAGAGAGAGAGAGAGAGAGAGGAGAGGGTGGACTCCATCTGCCGCTCAAAATTGTTGATACTTATATATTTATTCACAATATCAGATCATTAAACACAGAATATAAAAAGACAAAATCAGAAGTTTGCTGAAAGTCTAAGCAATTTTGGCTAAGAGCCAAATATGAATAACATAATTCTTTTCAAGAGCCATGAGAAATATTGTATTTTAGTATTAATTAATATCAACTGTGATACGTCAGCCACATAAATCTTTGCAAGAAGAATATTCACAATGCATTACATTAACCATATGCAGACTTAATAAACTGTTCTCGCACCATTTGTGGTTGTTGTTAAACAAGTGTCAACAATCAAGTTGAACTTATGATGACACATTGACAGGCATATGCCGATCATGTAAATAGAAACTCTAGACATTATAAGACGCTAACAACAAACATAACTACCTTCTTCCTGTGTAGATTGTTCTGCATCTTCAACAACATCTCCGAAAGGCAAACTGGGGTTGAAAACAGCGTTCAAAACACTGGCGTCGTGAGGTGATATGTCTTTGCAAGCCATTTCTACATTTTGCGTCGATAGATGGCACGAAAAACAAGACATTATGAGTGTATTTCCTTCCCAATCACTTTCAGATTTTTATCTTACCTATGTATTTCCATCTTATGCATTGAGGTTGTATTTGTTTGTCAAAAGATTAAATAGTGAGATCTTTTAAAAGTAAGTTTTTGACACTCAATAAAAAATATTCGGCTTGTCATGGTTTGCGCCATCTTTCTTTGGATGAAATAGTTTCGTGCAATGGCAGAGGAAGAAGATGTTCTTGATAGTTGGGAAGATCTAGGAGATAATGAGGTAAAGTGACTTAATATTTCTTCAGATTAATAAGCGTCGGTAGGAGAGAGTATCTAGTCGATCTTTTCTAAGATAGAAAATAATTCTCATAGACTTCTTGTCCAGTGAATAGAGGGTTTATCTTACGCAAGTTTCGGATTGTCATTGTGGATTTGCCTTTTCACCATCACTCATCAGATTGAACGAAGTGGATCTTGTTATTCTGCCATCCTACAAACAATCACTTGTCCTCGGATATCAGCTTACCAGCCGCGTTACTGATGAGTTGATCTGAAAATTTACAAGTAGACAGAAATGAGTCTTTTATTTAAATCAATTTCCAGGCACTGGGAGCTGTTGAAATTTACTGGCATTATTTACTTATCGTTGTTCAACGCTTATCAGTAATCACTGTGGCCAGAAGGCATCCATTTTATGCTACCATATTTACAGTTTGGAAGATAGGTTCTAATGACTGATTTTGACTACTAAACAGGGCAGAGGTCGCTTCTAGTACTCTCAATTTTTGCTTACTATGTATTTCTTCTTCTCGTCTTTCTTCATCTCTTCTTCTTCTTCTTCTTCTTCTTTTTCTTCTTATGGTAACTTTTCTCTTATTTAGTCAGTATAATGTCACCATGTTATTGCTTTTTAGGAGGCTATAGATAAAAAGATAGAGAAGATGAAGACAAAAATAAAGGCTGATGAAAGTATACGAAATCGGTAAGTTTTGAGAAAATTGTGTGGTTGTCTTAAATTCAGGAAAAATTCAAGTTTGTTTAAAACTGATACATTGCAAGTATTGGTAATATAATTCTATCATAGTTTACTCAATTTGATGAGAAAAATATATTTAGAATTTAGTATAAAGCAGTTTTGTTGAACCAGTGACTAATGGTGATTTTTTAAATCCACACTTAAAGTATTATTTTTAATAAATCAATAAAAAATTATACATGATGCTCAAATTTAACAATGAAATTTAAAATTATTGTATTTCATCTTGTGATACAGAAAACTAAATAAATCCCCAGGGCCAGATGAAATATCTGATGATCAGGACACTATGTCGAACAACATTAAGAGTATGGAAACCCGGTCATTGGTATTACATTGGTTTATCTGATACATAATGATATATATCTTTCTGTTGTAGTGATGCTGATGATTTCACTATACCCAAGCTAGAAGAAGACACTGTTAGAACGCAATATCAGCCAGCAGTTAGAATATTAAAACGGAACCCTAACCCAGCAGAGACTCAAGCAAATGGAAGTGCAAATAGGTACTGTAGTTTGAAATGATTTAAATTCAAAAAGCGCATTCAGAACAGATGATCTGGGGACTAACTAATCCACTGACTTAATATGGCCGACTGAACTTAAAAGCAGTGCCACTTAATCCTCTGATATTCAGATTAGATGTCAGCTCCAAGGTTTAATTGCAAGGCCCTTGTAGCGATGGTGCGTATGGAGGTAGGGAAGGCATCACAGAATTTGTCATCGCTGCTTTTAAGTTCATTCAGCCATATTTAGTCCGTGGGTCTGTTAGTTTGTGTATCAACTTGTTTTGAATGTCCTCATAGTTCCTGGTAAATTTTTTCATGATTTTGTAATTCTTTTTTCCTTTGTAATCCAGAAAGGTGTTATGAAGTACTAACAACTGCATTTTTTATGCATAACTTGATTACTAGAGGTAGAACCACCTGACATTTGAACTATAGAATTATCGTTAATTGATTGGTTTATTTATCCAGAGGACAGGTTCACCCATAAGTTGTCCAAGTAAATGAGACTACAGTTGCCTAAAAAAGTTACTATATCAGTTGATGATTTTTGATAGGTCAATTTATTGCAAATTAGTAACACTTTTTAAAAATAATTTTTTCAAAGGTTGCCTAACTGAGGTATTCACTTTAAAATAATTTTTTCATTTTGTAGAGATGCCAAACCAATGAAGACTTTAGAGCAACGAGAAGCAGAATATGCAGAGGTCAGAGCCAGGATATTTGGGACTGATGGTGGCTCAGGAGATGGTGAGCCAAGCACTGTGGAATTGGAGCGGTAAGGTTTTAACATAAATACCAATATAATTACAGTATGTTGTATCATTTTTATGGGTGCTACGTATTCCAAGGAGGGAGGGGAGTCTCTGTCTTATTTTTGTCTTAAATATCATTGTAGTTGATGTGGCATGTGCCAGTTAACTTGCTGTCACTACAGTTTTATACTAAAAAGACTTTTATATATTTAAAAAGGAATTTGGGGTGTAAAAAATCAGGAGCGTGAGGATAAAAGATAAGGCTGAAAGCAAGAGGTCTTCTGATTGCAGTCATTCAGAAATTCCCTCTAGATACAATACAAGGTTGAGGGTAGTTTCTTATAAGGACTTTAAAAAAATAATTGAAGTTTGCATTATTTTTAATTCAGAAAATAATTGATAATGATAAATGATCTACATCAAGCTGGTATAAAGTCATGATATAGCTCTTTAATTCTTTAATTATCTAGATGTCAAAACTGTATGTTAAAAAACATAAAACGTAATTTATTTATGATGCACTGATGCAGTTGTTAAAACAAATACACAATATTAAAAGTATTGAGTAAATATTTGATCTATAAAACTGATAGTGCCTTATATTTCTTCAGAGCGCCAAGACTTCTGGAGCACCAGATGAACAACGTCCGTCTCTCCGACAATGTGGTACTCAGGCAGCCAAAGGGTCCAGATGGGACGAAAGGATTTGGATCAAAGACATAGTATACTGTGCTAAAATTTGATGGACTTTTATCAAAATGTTTCAAGATGATTTTGCAAGGATGTGAAGATCATGGGAAAAATGGTGGGGCAGCTTGAGAGAATAACTGACCCAGAGGCAGCTTTGATGATTTGAAAAATTAAGGCAATATGGAAGATTTGTGAACTGTGAAAGATTGTTAAGGGCAGTTTTAAAGAATATTCTGTCAACTGTTGGATGGAATGTTCACATTTGTGTTAGTCAAAAAGGTTCCATTTAGTATTTAACTATATTTTACCTTATGACTGACAAACAAAACTTGTCCATTGAAACTGTCATTCCAATTGACCTTAAATGACCTAGAAGGTCAATGATCTGAATTGACACCCCCATAGGTCATTAACCTCTGCCATCACCACCAAGAGACAAACATTCTTGCCTGTTGTTTTGCTGATAATATTTTAAGGAGTGCGCAGTGACAAAAGTCTTGGATCCCATTGGAGCTTTTTCTTCTTCTTTTTTTTTTTTTTTTTTTTGAAATGTGGTGTGACAGGAATGAATCCTTGTGTCCACCATGCTTATGAGCCCCTGTGCTTGTAAATGCTCCCTCCCAGTCCCCCCCCCCCAGTCCCCTACCCCCCAACTTCTTCAGCACTCCCTGTCCCCATATTGCCCATGGAAAACATGCTTACTTGCAAGTTGATGCAACACAGCAACAAGATCAGTTAATTAAAATGATTTCTGACCCAAAGATAATATGTGCTTTGACACTTGTTTGTTATAAGCATTATCACTGTTAGTATCAAAGTGCAAAATGTTTGCAGTTGATGCAACACAGCAACAAAATAAATTACTGAATAATTTTGGACCCAAAGATATGTGTTTTGACACTTGCATGTATGTGTTTTGACACTTGCATGTTAAGAGCATTGTCAGAGTGCAAAATGTATGCAGTCGAATTGGAAGCATTGTCAGTGGACAAAACTTTTAGAGCAGTTGTTGTGAAAAGATTGCAAAATATCAAAATTAGATGGAAAAAGAATTGAAGTCTACTCCAGCTGGTTATTGCCCTGGTATCTTATGACATGTTTACATCAGAATTGTTTTAACCCTTCACCTGTCGTGAGCTATTAGGATTAAACCTGGAGCCAAGTTGAATAGGCTTTGTTTGTTTAAAATTAATCCGGTGTGAAGATTTTTTTTTTTTTGTGATGGTGAAGTTTTTTTAATCAAAAAAGGCATAATTTTATGCATCAGTAATTAACTTATTATTATTATTATTATTATTATTAAAATTCAACCCTCTAAAAATACTACTACAAATTTCTTTTCAAAAGAAAAAATGGAAGGTGAATATGTGTGGGATGATTTTAAGTATATGTTAAACACACAGCGTGTTAAAAGAGAGAGTAAAACATCAGGATTTTAACCATTTCATTTGTAGACGAAGATTTGTGTTACTTCCTTTCAGTGATAGAATATTAAGAATTCTATACTTCCCTTTGAAATATATGACAGAATCAAAATTGGTGAAGATTGCAGATTATTTTGATACTTTGTGGCACTTTCTGTAAAATTTATAATAGGGAATGGGAAAAGCAGTGCTAGCATGGAGTAATACCAGCTTAAAACATTCTACAGGCGGGGTATGTTTGAAAGAAATTCATATTTTCAGAATATTTGATATATATAGGGGCAAATATGACACTAACCTTTGTTACTGGCTTTGAGTTTTTGATTTTACAGTTTGACCAATTTAAATCTGTATGATTTGGCCAATTTAAATTTGTATGATTTCACCATTTGGATTTTGTATAAATAACCCTATGGTATTCATATATTTAGCACCATCTTCTTGTTCCTTGAATTGTTTAGTAGGTGAAAAGTGTGTTTTTTAATGTGAAAAATGGACGAGTTTATGCAGTTATTGCATCATTGTTTCTTAGTAATGAAAATGTGTAGCAGTTGTCGTTGTCAAAGTAAATCAAGATAATGGTTGTAATGCTTTTGTCAGTCAAGCTGAAAATTATGTCATTATCTTAACACAAAATCCTAAACTAAGCTTGCAATTACCTCACTGGTCATTTCTAAAAGGTGGTGCAGAGAAGAAGAAAACAAACAGTTGATGAAATGTGTCGCCATCTATTGATAAAAATTAAAACTAAGGTCAGCAGCCAACTGTGCAGACTATTTTATAAGGTGGTGCCATAAAACCTGTAAGTGGAATGCTTTAAAAAGTTATTTTAGTTTAGTGTGAGCTGCTTTTGTGCAATAGCCGTCCATGTATGTTAGACCTACAGTTGTAGTGAATATGATAATTATATGGTACATATTTACATAGAGTTCAACATCATTGAGATGAGAAAATATCTTTTTGGTCAAAATTTAGCAGGGATGGAAAATTTGTGTGCATTTGGTTAATTTCTTAATTTATTCATTGATTTTTTTTTTTTTTTTTTTTTTTTTTTTTTTTTTTTTTTTTTTTTGCAAGAGGTCAGAAAATTGTTGGATTTCATATACATTTTTTTTCCAAATTTGATACATTTTCCATCCCTAGCTGTGAATATTTTATAGTAGTAAACAGTGCCTTATTTATGAAAACGAATCATTTCAGCATGATCCTTATACAATAGTGCAAAGAAAGAAGTGTTAATTATTCTTTCTGGAAATACCTTTCCTCTATACTGAAATTTGATTTAAACATTTTATTGGCATGTGTCCAAAGTATCCTTCTATTACACTTTTTAAGTAATATCCGAAAATCAGTGAATTATTTTTTCTTTGTTAAGAAATGTATGAAGTCGACCATTTTATTTGATTCACTTTCATTACCAAGTCAACATAGAATTTCTTAAAATTATGTTGTACCTCTATCTTTTCTCACATTTTTATTCAAAATAAGTCATTGAAATAAAAAATAAATGCTTGTATTAAAAGTATGATTTCTACAAATGAAGACTTTGTAAGATACAGTTATTAGCAATACAAGATTTATTCCATCCAAGAAATTTATTGTTCCAAATTCCATAAAGTTGCCAGATTAGAAACAAAACTGAAATTGTATCAAATTTGGATAATATTTGACAAAAAATGTTAGAAATCATAAAACTTAATATTAAAATTAATGTAATGGAGAAAAATTAAATGAAACAAATTTACATTAAATTTTAAAATATTTTACTTGCCCCTTCACCTGAGCATTTCATAATCAGCAATTTATTGAATTTTAAGAGTACAGTTAACCAAGGGCGCAGGCACTTAATTAAAGGTATAAATTCCAATTAATTTGTAAAACATTTTAATTAACATGAACATTGGTCCTTTGAAGTACAT